ACGCCTGCGCGTGCGCGGGAAGCGCTCGACGTCGTCACCACGTCGATCCAGGACCGGGCAGGCGTCGCCGCCAACTTGGGCAAGACGCGCGTTTACGACCGCGCAGGCGGTCCTGCGCCCGCAGGCATTGCTGAACTCGGCGAAGCGGTCTGGACCGGTAACGCGATCGAAGCGCAGCGAGGGTTTCTCGCCTTGGGCACGCCCATCGGCCACCCTGACTACGTTGCGTCGCACACAGACGCTCGCCTCAGGGAGGAGACCCGGCTGCTGCAGGAGCTCCCCCTGCTGCCGGACTTGCCATGCGCGTGGCTCATCCTTGCCATGCGCCGCCCCGCGTGCAGACCACTTGCTGCGCACCCTGCCTCCCGACCTCTCGGCATCGTACGCACGCGGCCACGACGACGCAGTTTGGCAGTGTTTGCGCGAGCTTCTTGGTGAGCCGGACGACCAAGATCCTGAAGTCGCTGCCGCGCGACACCTGGCGCTCTTGCCGGCACGCCTCGGCGGACTCGGACTCCAATGCGCGGAGCGCGTCGCTCCTGCCGCGTACTGGGCCGCGTGGGCTGACGCTTTGCCTGTTTTGCGGCTGCGTCGCCCCGAGGCTGCTGCGCGTTGCCTGGCCGAACTCGAAGCCGGACCAGCCTCCTTCGCGCTTTGCCTGCGCGCCGCCGCTGCCGCTGGTGCCCACCTCACCCACGCAGGATGGGAAGGTCGGCCCGAGTGGAGCGCTATCCATGACGGCCTGCGACCGGCCCAATGCGACCTGCCCGAGCCTGGCGAGCGGTGCCAGGGCTGGCAGCATCACGGTTCTCGCGCTTGTTCAACCCGTTTTCGCATGTTTTCGCGACACCGAGTTGCTGCCGGCCCTCGCGCCGCCCGCACAAGCACTGCTGCGTTCGCAGTCTGGGCCGCGCGCTGCCGCCTGGCTCGGCACCGTCCCCAGCGAGGCCGGCACCACAATACCGCCAGGCCGCATGCTCATCGCTTTGCGGCGACGGTTGCGCCTACCGCTGCCCGTCGCACCAGGCAGATGCGGGGCCCATGGACCCGGCTGCGGCGCCGCGGTCGACGTTTACGGTGATCACTATGCTGCCTGCCCCCGCACCGGCCTGCTCGCCCGGATCAGGGTCGTGCGCGAAGCGGTCGGGCCGGAGGGCCAGGTCGTCCCGCAACAGTGGCTAGTACGGACGCCTGCCCCAGGTGTTGACCCCGACGATCGCCGGCGTCTCGACTTCGTCGCATATGGTGCCACACAGCTTGGCGAAGCACTGTGCTGCGACGTAACCCTGGTCTCGCCGCTTACCCGCGACGGCCGCCCGCAACCTTCCTCGACCACCAGGGACGGTGCTGCACTGGCCGTCGCCGAACGCCGCAAGCGCGCTGCCTACCCCGAGCTCCTTCGGCGAGGACCGCATGGGCTGTGCGTGCTCGCGTGCGAGACCGGCGGGCGCTGGAACGACGAGTCGCTCCGCCTTGTCGTGCAGCTCGTCCGTTTGCGTGCCCTGCGAGCCCCTGCTCCGCTCCGAGGAGCTGCCACCCAGGGCTGGTGCAGACGCTGGTGGGGCCTACTCAGCGTGGCTGTGCAAAACACGCTTGCTGCCACTCTGCTCGGGTCGCCGCCCGTCCATGCCCCTATGCCTGGCGCGCAGGCACCGCCTCTGCAGGACGTCCTGCACGACGCGTGCCCGCCTTTGCCCAGCTGCCTGCCGGCTCGCTGAGCCGCTGCAGCCCCTCTCCTATGCCGTAGTTCGCAGGTGCACTGGGACCGCGCGCGGATCGTTCGAAAAGTCCGTTGAAAAAAAAAAAAGAGATTTGCTCATTGCTGCTGCTTCAGCAGGGCAAGATCTGGTCCCAGGGCTCTTTTTGTTTGTTCCCTCCAAATCTTTCGTTTACACCACATAGTCGCTGGAAGACTTTTTACTGAAGGCTCGAAGCCGGGAGTCGTTGTGGAATCACTGGCACCATGGCATGTTTTGTGATCAGCAGTGGCTGGTCCAGCTGGAAATGCAGTGATGCACTTTTGCAAGCATTTTTGTCCTCTGCATTCGGATGCTGGCCGAGCCGGAGCTTACTGGCACGCTTGTTCGCGATGGCGTGTCAAAGGATAATTGCCACCACTTTTTTTTTGCATTATGCTGCCAGAAGGGACGCAGACGTGCTGCAGAAGGCATTGCTCCGCGGAGCGCGCAAGCAACAAATTCGTCAGGGTTGCCAGCCAGAGCGAAACGTCACAAGGGGTTTTCTGCTTTTGAGGACACGCGGAAAGGACGACATGTAGCGACTCAGAACAGTGCCAATGCGTCGAGGCGCGCAAGTTGCGGAAGGGCAGAAGGTTTTTTTGCGTCTTTGGGTTGAACAGAAAAAAACACTGCTGTTCTGAGGGACGCGTGTGTCGATGTTACGGTTTCGAAACGAAGCGCTGTCGCCTTGTTTTTTTATGGACAACGCATCCGGAAAAGGGCAACAATGACACGGCTTCGGTGTTAAACGAAAGATATTCTCTCAGTTTTGATGCTTTAAAGCCAACCAACGCGGCAGATTGTTTTTGTGCTGATGTGGACACTTTTTGTCTGTGTCCTTGGGTGTCTGCAAACTTGTGGAATTCGCTTCGTGTGCATTTGCGGAATTGAGGCGATCAGTTTTTGGCAACACCAGTCACTTTCTTGTCGGGTGGACTTCGTCTGTTCCAGGCATGATCAAAGCTTCATGTAGAGCACGTGTGATGTTGCTTATTTGATGTTTTGGTAAGACTTAACAGATGCAATGCCGAAACCACCAAGCCACAGTTCGTATGTTATTTTGTGCTGAACACATTCGACTGCTTCGTGTTTTACCGCCAAAAGGATGTCAGTCCGCTTGCTGTGCAGTACACGTACACAACTGTTCAATAGAAGAAATCGAGAGTGGAACGTTTCTTGTGTTTACTTCATTCAGCATGTTTTACAATTCTACAAAGCTCATGCTGAATAATGTGGTTGCGCATTCTAGCCGCAAAGCTGCTCGAGCACTTTGATTGTGCATCGGGCTAACCCGACGGTGTCGCTCAGCGTAGCTTGTCGCACTTTGTACACTTCAGAGCTTGCGAAACTTGCGCATCACGAATGCCTCGTATTGATGTTCACTACTGTCCGGTTTTGGCTGTTATTCATATTGCGTTTTGCTTTCCTACACGGGCAGTCGGTGAGGTGATTCGCAACAGTTTGCATTCGTATGTTATCTTGCGCTGGACACTTGCGACTGCTCCGTGTTCTACCGCCAAAAGGATGTCAGTCCGCTTGCTGTGCAGTACATGTACACAATTGTTCGATAGGAGAAATCGAGAGCAGTTAAGCTCTGCGGCCAGAATCGAATTGTAGAACGAGCAGGCATGTGAGAGAGGAAACTTTGTGCGGAAAGCCTGGATTTTCTTACCGGAAGGAGATCTTACCGAGATGATGTGGATCTCCTCGTATGGCCACGCCTACCACAGGGAAGGCTGTGGTGACCTATCGTGTGCCCGCAGGACCTCACGGCTCAGTGTTCGAAGGTAATTTCCGACCGGGGGGGCAGCTGCAAGCACTGCTTGCAGTCTCAGCGGGAGTTCAGCCGAGGCCAGAGATGATTTTAGTGTGGAGCCGCATGAAGATGCAGTTCCACGGGAAGCGTGCAAATCTTCCCGAGCCTCTTTAGACCCTCCGGAGTCCTACCGTACAGTGCTACTGCAAACAGTGCCGCGGCAGCCGAACTGAATTGAGCGATCGTGTGCAGCCCTTCGAGTGCACAAGATCGGCGTGCCATTTGCACAACAACACGAGTGTCAATGACCTCGGATACTAGGCGACGGAATGCCCTTGAGCCGTATACGAAGAGTCGTACCACCTTCGAGGCAGGGCGTAGAATTTTGTAAACGGTATTGTCCCTCCTACAGTCCACCCTTCGATAATTCCCAGGCTACTGTAGTTTTCCATGTAGCCCCTGTGATGTACAGTTTTTACCGACAGCGCCTTTCGATCAAGACTGAAAACAGTGTGTCCGCTTAGAGTTTCGCTGTTTGCTTTTTCGAGAACAAATCTGAAGCCGTGTAAGTGCACAGCAGCTTGTGGGGAAACTTCCCGCTGCCCCAGCACACGCTTGCGAGCTTCGGCGACTGTTCCGCGGATTTGTGTCATGTGCGAAATGGGTTGCCGTGTAGCCCTCACATGTGTTCGTTGGATTCGTTACTCCAGCAACGGCCTGATTCGCCTGAAATTTCATGCTGTGTGGACGTGTTTTCGCATGTTTTCATTCTTGCAGTGGACATGGGTGTTTCCAAAAGTAAAATGGTGAAAGATTTTGATAAGAAGTCGTCTTTCAGAACGAGGGTCAGGAAATTTATTTACTGTGGATATCGGAATGATGAAAAATGTTGTTCTGGACAAAACTCACAAAACGACTGTCTCAATTGCTGAACTGTTGGATTTGGGAGGGGGAGGTACAAAGAATGCCATGGTAGCTGTGGAGGGAAGGCAGTGCTCGGCTTTCACTAACGTTGCTCGAAAGGATCCAAAGCAACTGTTGTGTGGTAGTTCAGTTCATTGCATGGTCCGCCCCCAGCTGCTCGATGAGGAGACTTGTTTAAAGTGCAGTGGAAGGGGACCACCCTACTCGTACCCTTGCCCAGATCCGTCGTTGATTCTCATTCTGACAGCGATTTGCCAGAGGACATCGCCAAGAAGTCCAGCCTCGACCGTAAAGTGGTGCAGTCCGACTTGGGCATTGCCGCAGACGAGCAGGTTTGTCTTTGATGTTTTGTTGCAGCGGTGCTAGACTTTGAACCGCGTTCTGCAAATCTGTTTGGTAGGGAGACATGTTTCGCAGGCTGCCAACAGGGCCAAGCTTTCTTAGATTGAGGGTCCTATTTGTTAGGGAATAACCCGTTGGAGCAATTGAACGTCATCCTGATTAGGAGCGCTTCACATGTGCAGGTCCTGCTTGGACTCCTGGCCGTTTCGATGCTGACTCTTTCGGCTCGGGCTGCGACGATGGGCGTCCGGAACTGGCAGGTTTCTTTTGACCAGCCGGGCTTCTTGGCCTTCCACCTCCAAACGCAAATAAGCCCGTAGGAATAGGGCAGTTGTATTGTCTTGGAAGTGGAGTTCTCGCTGTTCATGCCAAGGCTATCGTCTGATGCCGGCAGTTGTACTACTTTCGCAAATCATAAACTTTGATACTGAGTCAATGCGGTTCTGCAAGTGCGGGTGACGACTGCTTTCGCAGCAAGTTTCTTCGGGACTCTGTTTGGGCCAGTCCAACGCAATGTTGGCCAGGGGTGTTGAAGACTAGTCCGGACATCATGGCGCCGCTGCTTCGGCCGGTTGTGGCCAAGGTGAACATCACGCAATAGCACCCAGCAAGGACTTGTTCATACCTGCAATGGGAAGCTCGGCTGTTTTAGAGATTTTGGATCCGAGATTTTCACGGTGGACGTCGGGACACATCATGGGAAAGCGTGTTACTTTCAATGGTCACGTCCACCGATAGAAAGTACAACGGGGTGAGGGAAGGGTTGCCAATCGAAAGTGTTTGTGTTCAGGTAACATGCTCGTCAAAATCGCTGGAGCCATTTCCCATGGGCTGTTGGCAATAAGGCGCCCGATGCTGTGGCTGCGCGTTTCGCATGATGAGGTTGTTGTTACAGGGTCGTGGAGATCAGTGCTATCAGCTATCATGCGGAAGTGCCACTTTTGTCAGAAGTGCCGAGTACTGGTCCACAAGAGTGGATGGTTGGTCTTACTGGTGGTTTCTCCAGTAATCCAGAAATAGTCTCCCTCTGTAGTCCTCTTATTGACCGGGAGTACATGGGGAGTTGCTACCACCCTGTCGCTCTGTGCCGACTGAGCAGAATGTATCCTTATGTATGTACATATGTGTATCTATGTGTAGTTTTGTCTCCTCGTCCGCTGTCAGTCTGCGGCCATGGAGATACGTTTGGCTGGATCTCGTTTTATACGTTCTCGAACCTTGCAGTTGAGGAGTCTCGAAAAAGAGCTTCATATTGTTATACTTCAAAACACGTCTGGACCCCGGTGTGTGTAAAGTGTCGGATGTTTGGAGGTGGCTGCTAGCTGGCGATCCGGCGGGGCCGCCATTAATCGCTTGCTTCCTGCTTGTTGCCAACAACACCCAGCTGCTGACCTCAACGTCGCTGCCTCCTGACTTGATATGAGAATAGAAGTTGCGAGCATCTCGTACCGGTATCCCCCTCGTATTATCGGTATCCCCACATAGTCTCGATATCATTCAGTGTGTGATATAGCCCAGAGCCCTGTTGTAATTACCGGGATGCCTATGTCAGGTTCTTGTACTCTTGGAGCCTGAGTTGGGTTGGAAGCAGAACCACAACTATTCAACCCCTATTCCCGCACTGCTGCGTCTTGGCGTTTTGAGGAGGCGGCTCAACAGTCGGTCGCTCCCAGCCAATGCACTTGCTTCAACCAGCCGAGTACATAGGTGGTAGCCGAGTATATTGAAGTGTTCAACGGCCGGGACCTCGTAGCCAGGGCCCGGCATATGAAGCTGGAAGTGTTTGCGAAAGGCTCAGAGCGAGGCATCCACCAAGATTTTCCATCTCAAGCCCTGAACACACCATTTTGGTTCGGGTTTGGACTTCAAGCCCAAGCCTTATACCCGGCCGCCGGAGTTTCAGGATCTCGCACGTGAAGGCAATCCTCGTCAGCATTGCCATGGAGACGCGGCTAGGGAAGGCTTTTCGAAAGTTTCGCATGCAGCCCCCTCATTGATCTCAAGACGCCTGGGTCTTCTATCTGAATGTGTTCATATTCATGCTGAACGTCTTTCATGTCTGCGCATGTATGCTTCTGTATATGTGTTTATATATACAAATAAACACAAACATATACATATTTCTATGCATCCGCATATGCACATACATACGGAAAGACATCCGTACGTGCGTGCATACAAAACACATACCTATGTATTTATCAATCTTTCTATCTGGCTACCACCCACATCCATCGATCGCTCAGTTTATATCCATCTATCTATGTACATTCTTCCCCTCTCTCTTTCTCTTTCTCTCTTTCTCTGTCGCTCCTGTTCTGAGGTCAGGTTGTTTCAAAGGTAGGAACTCGGTTCACGTCCGTGTCGTCCTTTTCTCCCGAATCAGCGCTGCTCTTGTTGTGCTGGAAGGAGTTCTTAAAACCAGAGAAGTCAGTGGCTTTCGATAAAAGGGGTCCGCAATCGGGCAGAGAATGGCTCCGGTTTGTAATCTCCCCTAGGAGAAAGGGATCTACATCAAGTTCGCCGAAGTCAAAAATCTGTGGGGCGCACCGGCCGGCAAGGCATGCCTCTTGATCAATGTGCCACGGCTCCATTCATCCTACATGACACCTTCAACTTTGAGGCCCCAACTCAAGTTCGACCCCGTGTTCTCTAAGATGAAGAGATCATACCCAATAGGTAGAAGGTATGTTTATAGTTTCCATCGTGATACCAGACGATGGCAGTCCAAAGAGGGCTACATGCAACATCAGCAACATGCTTACTCGTGCGTTTCAGCATCCAGTTTCGCTCTCATGCTACGGTGGAAGACGACGAGAGCGAGTCAGTTCTCAATCGTTTTTGCTCTTGCCATCTCATGAAGCCTGCTGCCCCTCGTCGGCTTTCTCAGGACTGGCATTTGGGGTTTGCGGTCTTTGCAAAAAAAGCAAACGTGCACCGTTTCAGGCAATTGTGTTACGGTGGAGTCATGCATTCCGCTCGTGCTTAGCGACTCCGTGCAATTGAGCTGAAATCGACCCTCAGGCCATTTCCATACTGATCCTGTTGCCGTATTTGCCTCTTGGCTGTCCGAAGCCACAGGCGCCTCCAGCACATGCTAGGCCACCGTCTCATGCAACACCTGCATGGCAAGCACTCGGCCGAATCGGGTCTTCTGCAACCCTACTCCATTCTTCTAAGCACCTTGCCTCTGCTGCCACTAAGGCAGTCCCGACCGGAGGACCTGAAGAGAAGCTGATTCATGAGTGACTTGTGGGTTAAGCAACCCTGCTGGAACACTTTGTAATCCATACTGCTAGACGTTTCCCACAACTGTGTTGCAGGACCTCCTGCTGTGGCTTGGCACTTGCGCCACGTTTTTGCTGTGGGCAAACTCCAGCATCAAGAGTCTCGGGGCTTCACTTGGCAGTCGGAGATGCAGCATTCCGGAAGAGACTCCAACGGCAGCTCATCGCTACATGTCGGCTCTATCTCCTGTGAACAAGTCGCTCATGAAATGCGAACCAGCTACGTAATACGCCTGAACCTAACTCCTGAAACAAGCAACAATCATACTCCATCCTGTTGCTGCTAAGGTGTCGGCACCAGCTACTACGCCTGAACCTAACTCCTGAAACAAGCAACAATCATACTCCATCCTGTTGCTGCTAAGGTGTCGGCCTCATGGACCATGACGCCTGGCAGGATGTGGGTGAGGTACTGGAAAAGCACTCAGAGAACGGCAAGATCATGACAGCGCCAGAGTACCTTGAAGAATCACTTTGCCTGTGCTGTCCAGGATTGGTCACACGTGAGATTGATGCAAGCCCGTCCTCCAAGCAAGTTCTGGTTAAGTTTGGATCCGATAGGTAGCGAGGAACACGTCAAAGGCACTGCTCGCATGCGTCAAGGTTCCTCGCCCAGTTGTCCATCTGCCGGGGCGAGGAGGCACCTCCTTTTGGAAGCTGAAGCAGCAACACCAAGCTTCCCAACAGTTCCATCTAGTCTGTTGTGGCGGTGAATTAAGGTAAGGATCCGAGCATGAAAAGTAAAGCACGGCAGATAGGCATGGAATAGCATGCAAGTGTTCAATGCCCTGATTGATTGCAGAAAATAGGGCATAGTGCACGATGCACACCGTGTCTCCACGATGCAGACTACTGTAGATCTTCCAGTCTCTTGGCAAACTTCGTCAGTTGTGGCTGAAAAACCGTGATTGACTTGTATGGCTGCTCTGGCGGACGTTTCAGGGATGCAGCTGTTTCGTGCAGTTGCAGGCTTGGTAGACAAGATCGTTTGTAAATCCCCTTCACTTCGTCCAGTAGCACATCGAGGCCTTAGATGGAGAGAGATCCAGACTAGTAATCTTGAAAGTTGGTATGATTACAGCAGTGAATGACTGTTGCGTAAAGCTTTGCTCTCCTCTTTTCCCACCCTAACCCCGCCCATGTGCTAGGAACTGCAGCACATGGGTAGAGGCGGATTCATGCTTCTTAAGGGCAGTGCACCTCGTCTTCCACACTCCCACTAGCCCGGTGACCTGTGGGCATTGGGGCATGCTTCTCAAAGATGATGCTGCTGCCCCCTTGTTTTGTCCTTGGAGGCCACTGGGCATGAGCCACCGCACCACTTGCTGGGAATGAGAGAATGGAGCTTGCCACCATGAACAAAGTGGCAGGAGCTTCTGTTCCGGCCTTTGTGCCAAACAAACGCAACACTTGAATTCAACATCCGGGCCTTGGTTCCGGGTCGTGTGCCAGTAAACCAAAGTACCGACCCCTTTGCGGGCAGGAAAAATCCCTAGAGTGCTTGTCCCTTCGAAAACTAGGCCGATCGTGGAGTTTCGAAGCGCAACTTCCCAGAAAAACAACAACAGTGCGAGTTGCTGCAGGCATGCTGTTTGACCAAAGCAAAGAAACAGGTTGCACACATGTTTGGAAGCCCCTGGGGTTTAAGATTTAACATGTTTCAACAGCTGGTCCAGCTGTTGGGCGCCCCCCCCGACCACACGCTCCTTGCTGATGAACTGCATTGGCCCGCTGCCTTCTGAGATCCACAACCAGCCGCTTTCTGAGACAAAGGCCGGCCTGCGACCTCACCTGTCTCAAAGCCCTGCACAACATAAATGCAGCCGAGCACCTCCTCGAGTCACCTCCCAGCTTCACCAACCTTCAAAGAGCTGGTCCGTGACTTGGGCTAATAGCATGATGTGTAACACCTCGTTTGCATTCCTCTGTGCCCACCCAACCTCCGCCCATGTGCTAAGAGCTGCAGCACATGGGTGAGGCTGACGCGTGTACTTTAAAGGCAGTGCACCTCACCTTCCACTCCACAATTGTGATTGCATGTTGCTGCGTGCTTTGCGCGCAGCCCGAATGCGTAAGCTTCGCAGAAAAAGTAGCTTCGTACCGAAGCACCCACCGAAGCCGAGACAAGCTCAACCTACTAGAAGATGCCACGGCTAGTTATGCTCTCAAACATGTTAGATTCCCTCGGCTCCTTCAGGCTACAGACGGCGACTCGAAGCAACCTGGGCTGTTGCCAGAGGTCCTGGATTTGATGCTCTTAAAGCTCCTTGGCCCACGTCCAGTTTGAGAATGCTGGCATCGTTCTTGTGGTGTTGTTGTTGGTGGTGGTGGCCACGGCCTGATGTCTTGTGGGCGACCTAGTCGCTGCAGCAGCAGCAGCAGCGGCGGCGGTGTCAGCGGCAGAAGCAGTTGTAGCAATGAAGGTTCACTTGCTTGCAACAACCGTAGTTGCGAGATCTGAAGCCACGCAGCCGAAAGAGATCTACCTGGCGAATCCAAAGAGAAACGTTGCGCAGTAATGCGGCGCAATGTTTCATTTAAGACATCTGTGAGCCCGTCTTCGTCGAGCTTCCAATGGGCTTAGCATCAGAACTTGGGCTCGAAGGTTCTGGTTTAGATAGAAGATTCCGTGTTCAAGCTTGAGGCTTAATTGAGCTTGCGCTCTCTCAAAGCCCCCGTTTCCGCGGCATGAAGTCCTTCACAAAAAAAAACGAGGCAGAACTGGGTAAGCAGCCTCTTAGTGTGTAAATATGGGTAAGCAGCCTCTTAGTGTGTAAATACGAGTACTGGAAATGCATGGCTAGTTGCTCGCCCCACTCATGGTTGCCTGCATGCCGACAGGGCACGATGGTTATCAGAGAGTATCCATGCGCTTTCGAGAGCTCCAGTACCACACCATCAACCAGACTGATCGCGTGCATTTCGCGTGGAATGTCGAACTGAGGCGCATTTCAGTGGTTAGAATGGCACGTCACCAGACCGATATTGTGTCATGTTGTAGTTTTCAAAGCATCAAGACAAGAGTACCGCTGCTTTAACCCCGAGAATGCAGAACCCGACTACTGCAGTTCCCTTACCCCCTCAACTCCGAAATGTTGAAGGGAGATGGATGTCGACTTTCTCAGCGAAGTCCACGGTAAGACAGATCCGGCAAGGCCACGACAAAGGCCACGTGCATACAGAGCAAGTGAAACCCAACCTGGCAGCAGCAAAGGAGCTAACCTGCAGCCCTTACAACTGGCACGTTACGAGAAGATGAACCTCCTATAGCTTGCACAGGGAATGCAAACTGTCGTTGGTGTTGGTGGCCTGCGCTGACCCAGGTTTACACCGTCAGAAGAGCTCTTGTTGCGACACAGACGCGAGCTCATGGCCCACGCTTTTCCCCTTTTTCCACGGCTTCGAGTCTTTCACGCTTTAGCTGCTTGGCTTGGAGATGAGAGATTGCTGGTTCGCTCTTCTGTGACACCATCATTTACAGCACAGTACAGCAATGCTGGCAAGTGCAAGCTCCAGTAACCTCTGCAGCTAGCGCCACACATCCAAAATCGCAATTCAGTCTGAGCGAGATGTCGAAAGATGAAGGCTGAAAGCACTCTAGCCGGCCCAGGCTGTCGTTTGTCTTCTCCTTCTGAGCTCCGCTGTGCCGTTGGGCATGGTGGTTTTCTGCTACTCGCGCAAACCTGCCCTGCAGTATGCCTCTGCGTCAGACGGTGAGCTTGAGCCAAAGCTGCCTCCGTCGACAGGCTCCTCGACACAGGTCCTCTTTCGTGTTGTTTTGTCACACTGCGAAGCCATCAGAAGGGCACCAGCATTCGCGGATTGGGCTGAGATGTCTGCGGCACCAACACATAACCGTCACGAGCAGTAGCGAGAAGTGGTCGTCGCCCCAAACGGAAGGCCGCAGGCAGAGTGCTTTGATGGCCATGACATTCATCAAGCAGCTTCGGGGTACTTGCAGACACACGAGACACACTGAACACAAGCTAGCTTGTCTGTGGTTGTATGGACATCCCTTCAAGCCACACCTCTTGCTTAGTCTAGAGCCTCGCAGACTGATCGCACGACGTGACTGTTTGAGGAAGACTCATGACGACGCCTTTTCAACTCCAGTCTCTTCTCGTAGGCTTCATGTCAGGACTTGTCCGGAGTCCAGAGGCGGCATCACTTCAATGAATTCAGATTATCTCAGCAACAGACCCCAGCAGCCATGAAATAGCACACGATCTGGTTTAGTTTGGGTTAGCGTGGTCAGGTTTCGGGCTTAATCGATCGTCTGAAGTTGGCTTTGTCGAGATGAACTTGTGAAGCAATCTGAAATCTCAAAGGCCACTGTATACCTAACCTGCATAAGGCCGGATATGAACGTTCAATACTGTCGTAAGATTTCGGATGTTTTCAGATGTTGTGAAATCCCTAATCAGAAACAGAGAGAGAGAGAGAGAGAGAGAGAGAGAGAGAGAGAGAGAGGGAGTCGACCACTGAAAACCCCAAAGCCTCTTCCACCGACTAAACGGGGAAGGGGGGGCTTGGGCCCGGGTTCGCGTGCGAACCCAACCCCTGAGAAGCGAAGCGAAGCGAAGGGAGTCAATACAGGTTAAGTAATTAGTTGAAGATATGTTGTAGGTCCCAACTCTTTGTTTATGGCCGATCCTAGGCATAGTCTCTCTCCGAAGCGGCTCATTGTGCTGGTTTGGCGGATTCAAATTCCTCATGGGGTGCATTCCATGCCAAATGCTCCCCGACCATACTATTTCCTCCTACGGGGACAATTTCACGACCGGGGAATCGAATGATTTGAGGGCCAATTGTCACGAACAAAAGGACGAAAGCTGCGGTCATCGTTTGCGTCTCTGACGCATGTCATGCACGGCTACGGCGGGATGGGTGCTTGAGCAAACTGCGATGCTGCCTGGTGCGCGAGGATACGTGGAATTCCCGCAGTGCGCGAGGATATGTTCCTGGACTGCTGCGTTCGCGCCCCCTGTGTCGGCGCAGGCCATGATGTTGCAGGCGAAGGCCCTCACCAGCCAAGTCGGCCAGCTTGGACTTCCTGCTGCATTCTCACACCGCGAGCGCGCATGGATCTCACCGTGGGCAAAAAGACATGTTCATGCCGAAAGACTGCTGTGTTCTCACGCCGTGCACACACGTGGATCTTTCTCCATGAGAAAACAAGAAACACGGCGATCTGGTGCCGCCTCCGAAGATAGATGACTTTGAAGTCCAGTTCCAGTGTCTACAGTCGCGCGCACACACATCCCTCGTGCTGTCGGGAGCCTGTAGTCCAAAACTTAGTCACTGTGCCTTTGCTTCACAGATTTCAGACCCCGTAAATCGTATCCGCCGTGAGGGAACGCGCAAAATCCGCTTGCCAAGGGTCGGACTTCTACATCCAGCCCCATGTGTGGGCTGGCACCTTGGACCTACGCTTCGAGCATGAGGCTCTGAAGAGCAGGGGACTCCTGCCCAGGTTCACATCCGGTTCTACGCTACTGAGTGAGAGGTCGCGACATCTAGAAGCACTGCAGCATCTCTACCACATCAGATTAAACAAAAATGCACGGCTTGAGATTAAGCGGTTTGCTTACATGGAGTAGATCTTCTGCCACCTGTGTTTCTGCGGAGGCTAGCCTCGCATCACGGTCGGAGTTTTGCTGTTCCCCTGAGAGCCGTGGCAGAGCACCAGTGTTGCAGCCATCATGCAAGGGTTTCAACCGCTGTATCGTCCGTGGGTGTTGAGTGTAGCGGGGTCCCGCATGCAGTTTTTATTGCAAAGCTTTTTTCAATTGGGCACATGTGTTCACAGACGCTTGCTGCTACGGTTTGCACGGATTAGAACAATTAAGTGGAAGGTACCGCCCGAACACCCCCCGGCAGCCCATCCACGCAAGATGTTGCATGAATCAATACTCAACCCATGACCAGCAGAACCGAGTTAATGCGATCAGAGTAGCATAGTCAACGCACTGGCTAAGCGTTTGAACTCCAACCTCTGCGGTATGACTGACGGATCGCAGGTCGGTGGGCCGAAACATCTGATGCCACAATACCAGCTTTTGAATGGCCCTAATAAGATCTAATGAGTGTCAAAGCGTCTAGCAGAATGCTGAGAGGCTGAACGCCGAAGCAGTGCAACTTCTTGCCGGCAGCAGCAAGACCGGACGACCCTGGCCCAAACGGACTTTGAACTGCTGCAGCTCTCAGGAGCTGTTCAGAACCCTCTCGCCGACCTCGTGGGGCCTGGACTGTGCTGGAGACTCGATTGCCGCCCGAAAACTTCGGGAAAGCCTGCACTCTCCACTTGCGTGGCTTTACGGAGCGACCTCTGCCTGCAGTATCGCATTGACAACTCAGTTCTTTCTGTGGTTTCAGTATGTTTCAGTCAACCGGCTTGACCGTACTGTATTGGACGAATGCTCCCGAAGAGCTGCAATTGCATTGATCAGCTGGAGGGCATCGCTAACCTCGCACCCTATATACTCAAAGGTCGTGCCCTGTGGCGTTTAGAACTTGCAAGCATCTGTATCAGGAGGACCCAAGTTCCCTCAATGTGCCGGTGCTATGATCGAGATAAGCTCGCACTTGGGACGTCATTGGGGTCTGTAGATGGTCCTTCAATTCAGTGTTGTGCGGTCTGCGCTCGCTGCGAGTGGAGTTTCTGCTTTGCCTGCGGGCACTACTCGCCTCATGATATTGCAAGACTTCGCACCTCAAGCCTGACCAACCAAGTGTAGCATGCAACTCCGTCAGGAAAGTATGTCTTCATGGTTCCAGCGCTGCGGCACCTTCGCGGACTGGTTTATGGGACAGATGCTCCGTGTGCACTTGGGAGAAGCAAGCGAGGATCAGGTTGACTTCCTATTACTGGAAAAACTCACCCCTTCGGTTGTAACCCCGGCCAGGACGGTTGACTTTTGAGATGGGGTCCCGGTATGATGGTTCCTGTGTCTTCGCTTCATGAAGCTTCAGGCTGACTTGTCATCCAGCATACAAGTTGCACTACGAAGTCCGCATCGCAGGAACTCCTTCGGCCCAAACTTTGCCAAGCTGTTCAGCAGATTCTGCTTAAGTGGAGTTTCATTCGTGCCATAGGCATTCGGTGTGCTGCTGGAAGCTGGAGTATTCTTGAAGAGAGCGAAGAGGCAAAAGAGAGTTCACTCAGGTTTGATGCAGTGCAGCTGTGAGCAGGCTGTGCCGGGCTATCACTGAAGTTGGTAGCGGAGCGCGATCAGCGTTCAGTTTTTCCATGGCCGACGAGAAGAGTTACTTTCACAAGATCAGCTGGGACGGTTGACCTTTTCTCCGGCTAGAAAAACTGGTGATTCGTTTGAAACGACCTGCAAGGATGTCATGGCGACGTGGTCTAGCAATGTTCGGCAAGTGTATCGAAAGGTGCAGGTGCCTTTTAGCTCGTGCTCGGAAGGATCCTTCAAGACCCTGTCTCCCGAGTCGTCCGCAGTCCGCAAGCCCTCCGATGCGAGGCAAGGACATGGGTCGGACCGAGGCAGCTCCTCCTGACAAAACTGTGGACGATCTCCCCGTGGACCTGCATGGCTGTGGAGGACGTGTTGCCCACCGAGCTCCTCGGCTGGTTACTTCTTTTTTAGGGCTTGTGACTCAGTCAAGGCTGGCGGTGCAAGCTGCGGGACCCAGCTTCCTCATGAGGTCTACACCGCCCAGGGAGCGCTTGGAATGAGACAGAGACCGATTTCTGGAGCACCGAGGAAGATGGAAGTTGTATATGGTGGCATGACTATGGCGACGGCGGCTTCTACCATGAGGATGCTTCTGGAATCTTTCGGAGTTGGAATCATGATTCCAAGAAGCACGAGAACCATGACTTGACAATGTTGACGCCTCCCAAGATGCAGTGCTCTTGCAGACCTTCCCGGATCCCGAGACGCTGGCTTCAGAATCATTACCGCCATAAAAATCTCTTGTGCATGGGAGGTTTCAGTTGAGTGGTCATGTGGAGGAGGTAGAAGTTCCGGCAGATCCTTCTAACAGATTCGAATCCGTGAATGGCACATTCAGCATGTCTTTATCGCATGCCTAGTGCCACAGTGTCGGCAAGATGCAACTCAAGCTTCAGTTGTACACACTGGTCTGTGAAGGCGTCCCGTTGTGACTGGATGCGGCAAGGATTTCGCATGGATGACATTCTTCCTTCACGTACAGCTTGGAGGAGGCGACATCGTATGTGCTCCTTCGGAAGTTCTTGCAGCTTCCCATGAATCACATGGTGACCCAGCAGCTCAGAGCTCAAGCGATATGAGAGCATCTTCTAGTGTCTTGGCATCCTTGGTTGCCCTGCACTTTCATGGAAGTGCCTGTGCCGGCAACATTCCGCCCCCCTCGTCGGAGACTTTGGGGGAAGGCCATGCGCCGAAGGTTGGTGTGACGAAGGCGAAGGCAAAGAAGCTTCTTCCCTCGGCAGTCGGCAGTCGAAAGCGATTTAGACTGGTCACGGTCGGAGAGCGCAGACCCTCGCAACTCGAGAACTGAGAGGACTCGTCGGGTTGAACGGCCACGCGATGTGGCGAGCATGTCAAGTCTGTGGACCAAGGGTCGGGGGGCTGACTCGAAAAGCGAGCGGTGGTGGTCGAGACGGCTCTCGATGGATATCTCTCGGAAGGGTTGGCTGCGGCTGCCAAGGACCCAGCCCTGGCCAAAGCTTCGGCTCCTGTGGCAGAGAGTGCTGCGCCATCGGGCGCCCCTCCTCCCCGTCGATCTCACCGAGGAGCTTCCAAGTCGCCCGGGACACGAGCCCGGCGCGATCAAGTGTCAGCGGAGTATCAGAGCCAGGAAATCCCCGATGGACAAGGGGACAGGGGATGAACTTTCCTCCCAACCTCGAAGCTGATGCGGAGGCCTGTTGGATGAGCCATACTGACAAGCAGGCGATCGAGGCTCAGGCCAAGGACACGTTAAATAGGGCTTTGTTCAATTTTCCACTGCTCGAGAACATTCTCATGTTGTGTGCGAGAGGCAAATCACGTAGCACAGTACACCTTTCCGAGGGAGAGATTTTGGACTTACAGATCGCACACAGGACTTTCCGGAGGTGACTCGCCTCTTAAGCATGTTCTAGCGCTCGCGTTTTGCAGAGCACATGAGGACTAGTGTGCAAGTGAACCTCAACAGTAATCTTCGTAATCTCCCAGGAAGTGAGGACCTGCTCGTCTGCTGTGGCAACTTTGAAGGAGGCGAGTTGTGGGTGGAAGGCGAGTCTTTGGACGCGTCTCCGGTTTCCAGTGGCATTTAGAAAGACCGAATATGGGAAGGTGATTCTTTCGCGCCCGAGAGCATTGCACACTCTTCGATCCCCGAGCGTTGCACGACGCCCAGCCATGGAAGGGATTTCGCGCCAGCGTCTTAGCCTTCTGTATACGTGAGGCACGCAATATATCCCAGGATGAAAGTCGGTATGTTCATGAACTTGGTTTCTCCAGCCCGTATCATGCCTATGCCAATCAGGTCACGATTGATCCGGATCTGGAGAACCTGGACAAGCATCCGGAGATTTATGTCACCGAACATGCCGAGCAACGACTTCTTCATGACTCTTTCTCTGAATTGTCTGATGATGTTGAGGGGCTTGTCAAGCAATTGACTAAGAAGGGCAACACAGACTTTCAGGTGATGGAGTTGCGTGCCCCATCAAATGGTTTGTTCGAAGAGGTCTTGAGGAAAAGTCATGTTTGCATTTGCAACTTGAGTGCCCGACGTAAGTGTTCCTTGAAGCCTCAGGCAGTGATTCAGAAAACCACGGGCCTCTTGGAGCAACGAGCTGCCTTGGCGCTGGTGGCACTTACGTCAAGGACCTCAACCCCATGCTTCTAAAATTAAGAGAACCGCTGAGATTGGTGATGGACGGACCTCGCAACTTTCGCAGCTTCCGGAAGGCAATTCAGAGTGGCCTCATGATCATGAACCAGCCAGCAGTTGCAACGTGGATGTCTTATGTGCCTAGTGTCCTTGTGAATCGGCTGTCTTCCGTCTACCGAATTCAAACGTTTCCTTCAGATGCTTGCCCGACAAGGGATGATGCTGTGACCTAGATGAAGGACCATGAGCTGGTCAAGACCTCTTCCTTGATGTCGCGGCTTCTGCGCCAGAGTCCTAGACGAGATCCCGTAGACACTTACGACTTACAAGTGCATCGCCTCTTTGCCGCTATAAAGCATGATGCGATGGAGGAGATGGACCCCGGCTTCATGAGCAATGCGGCGGAAGATGGGTCATCCTGGAAACCGGTTGTGGGTCCGACATCTTAAGGTTCAAGGCGCATGAAGGCCAGTTCAAGAACTTGCAACATCAACCTGAGAAGGAAGAGGTCATCGGGTCAACGGTTTAAGTAGATGCTTTCGCGCTGAGAGTCGCCAAAGCTGTGTGTCATTTCATTCTCTATGTCGACGAAGCATCTGGTCATCTGGCTATGCTGTTGTAGATGAGATCATGAGACATCCTGGTGATAGCAACGAGAACATTGGCACTGCACAATTCTTGAAGTTGGCATTCCTGCTGTGATTAAGCTCGACCTCGAGGGAGACTTCAGGGGGGGTTCAGTTGCGTAATTGGTGTGGCGCCAGAGGCATTCGGCTGGAACATGCTCCAGCAGAGTTCTACCAGTCAATCGGAGATGTCGAGAGACAGATTTGCTTCCTTCTGCGCAAGATTGAACTGTTTCTCAGACATGGAACCTAGTGATGTTTCAGTTGTTAGCTCACAACATGCACGAGTGCGTGCCTTTAGTCCAGCCGGTCATTCCAATCCAGGCCCTGGCGAGGCTATTGCCGTGGGCACTGCAGCAACTCAGGGAACAAACCAGCCACGCAGCTACGCAAGAGGGCTGAACAAACCTGAGCAGAGCGAGACGGGTTTGGCGTCACGAGCCCTGAATGACGGAACGGTAGGAGCTGAGATCTACAATCCGGGGGACTTCATCTACTATCGCAGGATGAAGGAACCAGCCAGCCGACCAGGCTGCAAACACCATCGTTGACAAGGCCAGGATGATGAAACTTCCAGCGACAATCGCCTTGAAAAAGAAGGGACAAAGCCGTGTGCCCGCAGGCACCATTCTTGTATCAGAATCTTCTGCAGTGTGCCGAAGCACTAACCATATCTCTCACGCAGAATCACACTCCGGACCATCCAAGTGCCACTCCCGAAACGCTCATCAGCGTTGCGGTCAGCAGTAGATGGCCAGCCCAACCTTGCCTGAAGCTGCGATGCCGGGCGGGCACCACACAGGGTGGCCTGACGGTCATCCGCTTCATGGTGGGCTTCGGCCTGGCATCCTCAGAAAAATCCAGATGCTCACAGAAAGAGCAAGGTTGAACCTCACGCCTCTTTGCAACATCGAGAACTGCAGGGGAGAACGTAGACCAGGATGCATGGGCCAGGACGCGTACTTGCAAGCGAAACGAAACTTGATCCTGATGGTCGAAGGGCCACGTGCACGATCTGGATCATCAGCCAAGGGAGATTGAAGAAGTGCCCTGCATCGCAGTTGAGACATGCTTCAGAACAGGAAAGATTAATGTCGAGTTCCTTCGAGGAGCAATCCATGGTTGTTTCAGCATTGATTCGGCTGTTAGACAAGGGAGAGTATGACGATCAATGGGTGTCTTCGGGTTCATGACTGAAGCTGTAAACTTAGCCGGATTGCACGATCAAACCTTGCAGCTGAGACTCAAGCTTTATCAGAGGCGGAACAAGAGCTTATGTTCACGAGGTTGCAGTGGCGGGGGATGTGATCAAGCTCTCCAAGGGTTACGAGATGATGATGCCAAAACGCTTTGTGACACTCTTTTGAAAGGTCAGATTGCAACAGCCTGTTATAGTCTTCGTGCGACAAATACCCATGCTTTGAGCCAGCACATCCAGTAGCAGGACGCTGTGTCGATGCGGTCAGCTCGAAGAGTCAGAAACAAGGTTGCATCCGGAAGCTGGTTCTGTCAGGTGTGTGGCGTCTCCACTTTGACCAAGCTTTCATCAGCGAAAAGAAAAGCCGGACCATGTTGATGAACGCTGAGGAGTGTTTCTTCAATCTCGGCCATTCAAAGTGCTTCATGTATAGTTTTCGGGCAGTTAGTTCCCGAGCCTTCGCTTCATGAAGCTTCAGGCTGACTTGTCATCCAGCATACATTTTGCATTACGAAGTCCGCATCGCAGGAATTCCTCTGGAACAAAATGTGTCTAGCTGTTCAGCAGGTTCAACTTCATTGGAGTTCCATACGTGCCATAGGCATTCAGTGTGCGGCTGGAAGTTGGGGTACTCTTGAAGAGAACGAGAGGCAAAAAGAGAATTCGCTGAGACCTTTTGCAGTGCAGCTGCGAATAGCTGTGAGCAAGCTGTGTCGGGCTATCACAGAAGCGGGACCACTATGCTCGCTGACTCGCTTTGCGACTCTGGGTCGGTCTTTGAAGCAAACAGATACGGGTAATTCTTCAAAATTTCAGGACTTTTAGGGAACAAGGACGGGATGATTATCGAGTTCCGGGGATGCGTTTTTTGAATTGGCAAGGGCGTTGACAATTACTCTCCGGGAGTCGATATTTGAAATTACATGGGCCTCAATATATAAGGTTAACTTAACATGAAGCCCAACATCAGCCAGACATGGGAGCTTTAGGCAGGGTTTTCATCTTCATACGGATTTTTCTGAGTTGCGTTTCTTCTCATGTTGCAATAGCGATCATTGCGCTACCAACTTGTTGGAAGTGGTTTTTGGAGGCGTAGTGCTGACCCTACAAGCACTACTCATCGCTGGGGGTTCCGCTGGCGCAGATGCAGAGGTGTTGGAAAGATTGCAACCGCCGCAACTTGCAAATAGCCGAACCATAAACGGATGATAGTGAGACAGCGAGGAGAATGCTACAGGGTTCAAAACTCGCCGAAGTATCGAAGACGTGCCCAATCGTAGGTCAGACAAAGTTCTCGACTAGGAAAGATTGGCAGGAACGCTCAACCTCCAATCGGGCCAACATAGACGTCAGTTTGCAGCTTACCACAGAAAAGCTTTAGTCGTCCCAGTCCTGCTGATGCCGATAGTCTTGTTTTTCGCCCCCGAATTGGATGTTGCCAGCAGACCTGCCCGGCCGTGTGGCCTGACAGCATGAACAGAATTTAAGTATCCTCGTCGTTGCCAGAAATAGAGCAGCCTTGCTCGGGTTTGACATTTCGTTCCCCACGGTCCGAAGGAATCCAATCCTCCGCCGAGTGTGGAGTGCTCTGTCTTCGATCGAAGCTGCACGCTGTCCACAATCCGCATGCCCCAGCTGCACCAGGACCGCAGAGGGTTTCTGCCAAACACATGGACACCTTGTTCGAATGCGTGCATCAGATGAGCAACAGGAGGATTTGGGCAGTCTTGTTTCAGACTCGCTTTCCATTTGCCTGAGAGAGTCGGTACAACGGGTGAAGTGCACAGTCACATGAGGTGGAAGCATTCCAAGTACCTTAAAAAGAAGTTCAAGTTCAACGAAAGGCTCGAATTCTGAGCCATAGAAACCGCGACGGGACTTATTTGGCTAGGGCTTGGATGCTGAATAAAGGAAGGCACCACGGTGTCCTGAAACGAAAGATGTTATTTTTACTGTGCAGTTTTCGAGAAGCAGTTGACTATCAAGATTGTTGTTATACTACTGCATATGACAATGTATGTTTTCAACACGACGAGGCTCGGAATTTGTGTTGTATACTTCTCTCCGTGGACACCTGAAGCTTCTGCTTGGTTGTTGTGGACCCAAACCTAAGAGCTGAGTCTATTCAAGATTCAAGCCCGCGCTAGCAATCTGCGCATGTGTAGTCGTGGCGCGAGGGGCTGCAGCTATCTCTGGAGCTGCAGCTGGAAGAAGCTTGGCACATCATTTGGCTATGGGCCTGCTTAATTTGTTTAAGTTGGTTCTACTTCTACTTGCGGTGAAGCTGCCATTCACGATCACGCTCGTCTTCACGGCAACATCAGGACATCGAGGAACTTTGATCCTTGATTAAGTCACAACCTGAACTCCAAACTCTTCGGCTTAGGGGTAGCAGATCAGAGTATCATGAACTTCTACATACTTCTGAAAATGACCGATTGAACAGTGTTTAAGTTCTGATAGGCTGTCTCTGGAGTCTCTGTTCAAGGCGAGTCTTTTTTTTCCGGCTTGACGGGCTTAGGAGCCCTGCAGGTCTGGCACAGCAGCCTGAAGATCCAGGAAACCTGTGGGCCGAAGGAAACCCAGGAAATTCGGATTGGAACCGAAGGACGTAGTCATGTATACCTGGAAACTGGACAGTAGAAACTTTGGAGTCACCATAACGGTGATCATGGAGAAGCTGTACAAACCCTCTTGCGGATTATGTTTGTATTCTGTATGAGTGTGTCGATGAGCCAGAGCTTGAAGTTGTGAGAGAACCTGCAGACTCTGTAGACGGCAGTCGGGCAGTGCTGTCTCTTGTCCTGGGTGCTCGTTTGTGCCGTGACGGAGCAGCGGATGCATGTCGTCAGATGTTTCAGGGTTGGATGCTGAGAGCGGGTTGGCCATCAGAAGGCAAGAAGCAGATAGGTGGGAGTCCACAAACCAGCGAGAGTGCAGACACCGACCCATTATCTGGAAGTGGCCTTGTCCTCAGCCTATCAACTCAAGACACCACCCAGCCTGTGGAGTCTATGCTGTATGCAGTTCAGTAGTAGTTCGCACAGGAAGACATCTTCAAGTTCAGCTACGAGGCTGGGCCGTGATCAAGAAGAGCGTGTCGACAAAGTTGTGCTGTGTCGATGTTGATTGGACCTGGAGATTGGGGGCCTAGCAGGTGGTTCGACTTACGTGAGACTTCGCAGGATGTTTCAAATGCTGCACGATTGCCAAGTCAAGGTTCAGTATTCCCGAAGCACTGGCGCAGTTGACGTACCTGCTGTACTGACATCACATGTCTCACGCGCGACAGGCAAAGGTCTGCAGAGACGGTGCCCGCGACGAGGATTGCGAGTCTGCTGATGCTCAACGAGCTGGGCATGAGGCTGATTCATGCAAGCTCTCTACGCAGCCCTCAACAACTACCAAGATGATGTTTGAAAGATCAGCCTTATCCAGGTCAGGCAAAGTGTGATTGGTTTTGTCAGGTCTGGATCCAGCCGGAGGCGCATCTGGGTTGGGCGGGCAACACTTCGAATCTTGGGAGCTGATCAACAGCAAAAAAACGGACACAGTATCACCGCTTGCTTTGTGTATCTCGCTTCGTGGTGAGAATACGTGCTTGTTATGGCTGTATCTTGTAATTTACCTTACTTGTGGCTGGCTTCGCGATCACCACAACCACGACCACAAGCATCGTCATGAGAACAGCAGCAGTACCAGCAACAGCAAAAGCATGGTCCCATGCAGTATTACACTCGTGCTTGCATTGCTTGTTATGTTGCTCTGCTCTTATGTACCTAGAGTTAGAGAGGCTGTCGACAGTCGAGATGCCCAGCCTGATTCAACCCCACTGGTTTCGGCCAGGTCGATGACACGACACAGCAGCTGTGGATGCAAGTGAAGATCACGGTGACGCCTGGGAATCTTAAAGAGCCAGGACGGCTCCTCCAACGCGTTTACGCAGTGGACGTGCCTTGTATCGACATTGGAAAGTCTATGAAGTCCTCGTCTGTAAGTTTGGTCCTCAATGACAGGAGTTGCCACTCCGCGTGTGTTGTGACATGTCCTGGTTGCAGTGTGAAGGCATTTTCAGCCAAACAAATGAGTGCTGCTTCGCAAGAGGGTTATGAACCCAACGCTCGCATAAATCCTTCGATGGCCGTGGAATCGGCCGATGAAGGTGGTCGGAGGAATGTGGAGGAGGGGACACGGGAGGCCCCCTTGCAACCTGCAGGAAGCGGCTGTGGCCTTGGAGTGTCTGGTGAGGTAACGAATGGACTCGCGGTGCTCTTCGGAATGAGCGTGACAGTGGAAGCCCGGGGATCCCACAAAGGCAACAACGACAGCAACGATGCTTGGACTGTCGCGACAGCCCAGAAATGTCGCGAAGCTTCGCAGTGACGGGCTCGAAAGCCCAAGTTTGAAAAAAGTAAAGGGGGAACACGTCGCTATGGAGTTCTCCCTTACTCACATGTGCTCCAACCTAAGATTGCCGAAAGAGGTTGCTGAAATCAAGGATCAAGGTGTGAATCGTTTAGCGTTGCTGCATGATGATGCTGGCGGAGCCCTGCTGATCCTGATGGAACAGAAACGGGGGGACGGATGCTGTTGTCAAGGGAAGACTTCCTGCGGCTTCTCGGTTCCCGCAACTGTTTTGCGGGAGCAAACTTGTCCGTTATCGCCGTATCTGTTCATTATTGCATTATCAACCCCCACGTCACGACACCTACGAAGCATTTCGGGATGCCTATGGACCCCGACCGTCAGTCCTGACCTCTAAGTTCAGATTTATGGACGTTGAATATGCGGACGACACAGTCCCTAGACTTTTGCTACATCGTTGTCTCCACACCTTGCACACGTTGCAAGCCCACTCTTTCAAGAGGGGCATGTCACTTAATCACAAAAATGCCAGTCATTGGCAGTCATTGGCTATTATTTCTGACCTCCCGATCTATCTTCATGGCAAAGAGTCTCCATACCTGTCTAATTTCACGTATCGATCCCAAACCGCACGCGGATTATTTAGGAGCCGTCTTCAAGTCTAATTCTTCGGCCAACTCGGATGAAAAGAAACATTACGTGCAGGCCCAGTGTCTCCATGACTTTTTTAAGCATCCATCCATCACTATCAAACGAAAACTATTGGTACACTTTCAGATCGTGTTCGCCATCCTACTGTATCCTACTGTATGGCTCGGAATCGCAGATGTGTCTCCAATCGAACCTCACCAAACCAACAAACTACAGTATATGGTCTTAAGACGAATTTGTTTTGGACATAACAGGCTGCTCTAATGAGTACTTTTCCCAACTCGTACATGAATATGCCCCAAAGCTATTATCACCCTCGCAGCAAAGCATTTCTTCTCGGATTTCGTTTTACGGCATATCCTCAAACACGCCCACGCATACCGACGACTCCACAAGAAGCGTCCCGGCCACCCTCGAATACATTGGGCCGAACTGACAATGACTCAGGCCAATCAGAGGTAAATAAGTTGGCCTCTGACACTCATATCCCATGAGTCCACTAAGCACACCATGAGATGTATCACCACCCCAAAGAAGAGAAGTGACTGCAGTTCACTCACGATATTTTGGGGGCACTGTCCTTTGAAGGGCCCGGCGGTTTTACCTTGAACAACTGAAAGAGCTGCTGTCGAGTAGTCTCACTTTTGGGCTTGTGCGCGACTGAGAGAACAGGGAGCAGGAGTCAGCCAAGGCAAGGGTCATCACGAACGAGCGAAAATATTTCGAGATCATGCAGACGATCTCGCAAGCCCGAGGCCTTCGTTTTCGATCTGCTCTGTTCGGATTCGGATTTGCAGGCTTCGACTCAAAATTCCTGGGTGAATTGGGGGAGCTCACGTTCCTAAGGCGACACATGGAATATGGAACTTGTTCACTCGAGTGCCGAACCTATCAGTTCTTTAGTCCTCATGCGTAGATCCATAGGTCTGGTTCCACTTGCCCATACATCGAAGTTTGCCGGGCGGGTGGCCACCGCCCAAAAAAGCATCGCAAGTCTGTAAAGTCGAGATTCAGTTGGCGTCAATGTTTCGGGCTGCTTTTTCATGCTTGCACCAGCTCCCCAAAGCGGGGCTATGCATACCTTGGCCTTCACTGCTGGTACCTGATGCAGGAGTGGTACCCTTGGAGTTGAAGCGCAACCAAGCCAGTTTGTTGCGGGAAGTCTATCAGCAGAAGAAGGACATCCTCAGTTGGCTTCGGGCGGTATACCCATCAGATGCTGTAGGAACATGCAGCGTGCGAGCAGGCGGGTTTCGGTCTGCTGTTGCCAGGCTACGCACGAATATCTCGTGATATGATTTCCTAAAGTTCTGCCAAGTTCGTTCTTTTACCCCGTACAAGCCTCGTCGTGTTGGTGTTTGGAATTTGCAGCGGCTGTGGGCCGTGTTTGTCGCCGAAGAGGTTTATCCAACCTCAAGGTTTGCAATCAGTTTCTCCTACCCACATGTGTAGCACCTTCGCCCTAAACTGATATGAGTCCCACTCCAACACCCTCCATACTAGACCTTGCGTCTTCCTCCTGGAAGCCAAGCTGGCAGGAGAAACCCTTTATCCCGCTAACGTTCCTTGCTGTGGGCACCACCGGAGTGGCTTGACTGTTTTTGGACTGGTTTCACAACTCTCGGCGGCTATGGACAATTAACAGTGTAGCACCGTGTGCTTGGTGGGATTCTTTCCAACTGGTTCAGAGCTGGCTCGAGCCCCACGCGCTCCACTTCGGAACTAGGAATCAGAGAAACATGGAACAGGGTCAGGGACCTGCGCGACACATGCGACACTTAGGTGGGGAAGTCCCAACTTTGCAGTTGGATGACCGACAAGTCCAGCCGCATGGCAATGATGAGTGGTCGTAGGGATGAGGCGAGAGGCGAGTTGAGGCTGAAACAGAAAACCACGAATGCTCCTACCACTAGGCTTAGGCAGTGCTCCTTGAAGCTGCTATGTGATGAGCAGCTGTGCGACATAGACGCAACGCAACAACAGCAAACATAGCATTCTTGTGACAGGCAACTTCCGAGACTGTCGTGTTGTATGTATCATATCATATATAGTACATATCTGCGGACAGTAGCTGTGCTGCATGTTTTGTATATACAATGTATATACAGTATACAATATATACAATGTACATACAATGTGTACGCAATGTGAAAACATATATGTAAATATGTAGTTGCTTCTACAATGTATAGTGCGTATGTGTACGATGCACTGTATGTATGTACTCTACATGTGCGAACAGACTACATGCTACTTTGTTCAGTGTGCTTTCAGCAATGAAGCCCCCCCGCGCCCATGAAGAAACCCTGCACCCAGGAAGAAATCTGCATCACGGTCACAGCTTGCACAAATACTGTTGCAGAGTGGCTGTTCCGCAGCTTCTCGCTTTTGTGTTTCATGGTGAAATCAACGAATCCATGCCGCACCATAGCTGGAATAGACCTGTGTCAATTCGAGTTTACGGCTAGTGAGTGCGACGGTCCCAGTACTTCTCCTGTGATGCGGAAAGTGAGCACAAAACTGGAACCCAAAGGTTGTTGTGGGAGTGCAGTTGCTACAGTCGTTGTGCTGTCGGAAGCAGAGGAAATCCAAAGAACCTAAATCGACCTACGAACCCTTAAACGTAAAGAAGCTGAAAAATCTAAACTCCTATGCTCAGGGATTCCGGTAGAATTGACAGCCCATACAGAGAGTTCCGGAAAACATTTTTCTGTTCTTTGAGAGTTTGGATTTCTTGTTGGATTACTTAGGTTGTTTTCAGGTATTGTAGGTTTTTAAGGTTTTGTTTGATGTTTCGTTGTGTTGGGTGTTTCTTGTGTCAGTAGGCGTTCTCGATTTTCTTGTAGGTCTTCCCTTCTTTGACAGCGAAAAGACCACAACACACTTAAACAACTGCACTCCCACGGTCCAGCGCCTAGTGACAAAGGGTTTTCTTCTCGTTGTACAGTATGAACACAAGATCTTTTCTGTACTTTTTACATGATACAACTCCTCCCTTTCCATCTTAACGATACCTCGAAACATATGATGACATTCAGTAGGGCAGAGCTTGTGATTAGTTTCTGAGCAGTGAGCGAAGTCTTTGCGCAACCCTGACAATATCAGCAATCAGATAAATCAGGCACGAAACTACCAGATTCTCCGGTCTCACTAACCGATCGATTGGCTCATAAACACAAGCTGTCCGGCTTTCCGTTTCTTCTTACCAAGGACAGGATCTCACTGCCTGCTAACGGCCCTTCCAACGTTCCCATTGCCCCTCCAAGCTCATGGGGCACGACCCTGGGGTCACTACGACCTGCTATACGCAAGATGAGTCGGAAAATGAAGCGTTTCCGTCGTCAATGTTTATAAGGAGAGCATAGGAGAGCTCGAACTTGGGAGACTGGCTGGAACGCATGAGCACTCCCCATGCTTGACATGATGATTTGTCTGTGGGCAGACCTCAGTTTGATACCAGTCCCTTCTAAAGCGCTTAAAAACCAATGTGTCGGATGCGTAAAGCAGCCAACTCTAGCCATTATCCTCAAATACCCTTATGCAATGCAGGCCAAAACGTTGCCACCCACACACACGAGTCTTCAAAGATCTCTTGCAATTTTCCGAGGTGAGTGCAAGCCCAAAGCGTCCATGGAGTCGGTCACCCAGAAGGTGATGAGCTCGGCCGGGGATATTACCGAGAGAGCGGATGGCACGAGAAGACTCAAAGAGCATCATGGCTAGTGGCACTTTTTCAGACAAGGAGTATGGTCCTTCATGGGAGGGCCAATGTTTGGAAAGCGTGCTGCAAGAGCCTACAACATCAACAAGCCAGTGTTTGTTCAACGCCTGCGCCCCTCAATGAACAGAGCAAGGAGCTCGCACGAAATTTACCAGAATGGGAGTGTGATGTGTTAGTTTCCGGGATCCCACCCAGGTCGTCTTGAGGAATTCTACAAGTCCTGAAGACAAAGTGCAATTTGTGGTGAAGGGGAACTCGGTTGACTGGCTGAGCTGCGAGGGACACATCCTTGAAAGCATCCCGACCTGCCACAGTACTATTGGTAAAGTGATCCTCCCCAGCATCCCAGGGTACGCATTTGCGACAACGTCGCACACGATGTCATCGTGTAATGTCGCGTATAGAAGATGATGGGAAGGAACACGTTCCTAATCACTGACGTGGTGCGATGTTTGCTGATCGTCGAGAAGGCAATGCGCGGAAAGCGCAGTAAAATCCTCCCCAAGAACCAAGTGCTAAGCATACTTACTTGACAGCATTGGCAGGAACCTTTCTCAAAGGCACCTTGGAATCCCTTGAAGCGAAAATTTGCATTGCCCTTTGCAGGTGGATGATTCAAGCGTCTAGATGTCAGCGGGAGTTTGTTCGCAGTGCCGTCCCATACCGTCCTGAGAAATCGCTCGGATCGCCTTTAGAGCATCTCTTGATTATCTGATTGGGGCTGGCATGGTCAGGCTGCTGAAGTGGAAGGGTTCGCTTTTGGAGATCCAAAGTGTCTCTTCTGCATGCAGAGAGGCATCTCGAGGTTGAGCACTGGCTTCAACTCGACAGCCCTACAACCTTACTTTCTCATGTTCGAAGTCCTTCGAGCCCTGTCCGTTTGCAAGGTCGGGATACAGGATACAGTGGATCGACACGCCTGGGAATCTCGACATTCTTCCACCACTGCCCTTTCTGCCACCACTGCCCTTTCCGGGAAGTGTAGTTCGATGAACCGTTTGAGGTGCTGGTTGGCTTAGATCTTGCGGAGCTTACGTAGATCGAGAGCTGCAGTACCGGAAAGGCATTATGCTCACTATGCTGAACAGCATTACTAGTCACGGCGGTCAGTGTTTTTCGAGATTTTGTGCTGTCAGATTCTCCGATGTGTGTCGCCGACTATAGGGGCTGTAGCACCGACGCCGGGAAGACCTTGCTGAGGAAAGGGGACACTGGCGGCGCCGGGAAAGATGCCACGCCACCTGATGCAAATTAGTGCCCGCACAAGTAGGATGCGAGGACGGCGATGATTTTGCCTGCGGTTTTGCTTGCTTGCTTCTACTGCGCAGCACACTTGCTGCTGCCCGTGTGTGACAACGCCTTCCACGGAAGTCTTGTATGAACTCGTCTAGAGTTGTCGGATACGGTGCCTGAGAGATTACGCTGCCTGCATTGTGTTTCAGTGTTGCTCTCCTTCTTCTGCTTTTCATTTTGCCATGCCTCCTTCCAACCTTCCTAGCTACTACTGCACTGCTGCTATGTGGAACAAAAGTCAAAAGTTTGGCAGCAAAGGTCGACGTTGGCATCTGACCCGATTGTTTTGTGCTGTCCTGCCCCTCCACAAAGGCTATGGGAAGACACAATGAAGTTCCTGCTCTACAAGAGGTCGGAATTGCAAGGGTAATGTGTTCACTGCGCGATACAGATGATATCAGGCGTGGGAGAGCGAGGGCTTGTAGGGCTGTTTTCGTTGTACGTCAGGAACTCTGAAGCCAGCTCTGCCTTGCTGCACAGCTTCGCGAGAATTTAGCTGGAAATTCATAGCGCCCCTAGCAAGCCCGTACCGCAGGATCCATCGCATCGTTTGGGTGTTGAATGCTGCCTGGATCAGGGGCACGGGGCCTCAGAACTGTCCCACCCCGGCTTGTGTGAGGGACTCGCAGCGAAGTATCAAGGAGAAGCTGTGCCTGCATGCAACTGTCAGAGCTCGTTTCGTTTTGTCAACTGCAGCATTCAGCGAGAAATTCAGCAATAGAACTATACATCGCTCATCATGCTGACCATGGTATTTGTCATGAGAAGTCTTGCAATATGTAATTGTACAGCTCAGCTTGGTGTTAAGCTCCCCGTATCTTCAGAGGCACCACCAGCACCGTCGACATGTGGACAGCCCTTCGGAGGTCATTTGGGATCCATCTCTACAGGAGAATGGCCACTTTGCTCCATTTGTGACGACACAAGTACGCATGTCAAGTGTACCAGAGTTTTGCACAGTATGTTCCGTGGAGTTCGTGCGTTTAAGAAGGATCACAGCAAGTACGTTTTGCAAACGAATGACGATCAAGATGTGTAAGGACGGGGTGGTCATTTCCAACTTCACAGACACCGGCAGGGAATAGCGAAAGCGCTGCTGCCAGTGCAAAAACTAATTGCAAAGGAAAGGCCCTTCAACTGGAGCTGTATGCTGCGCAATTGCGGCCAGCGTTGGCCTTGCAAGTAGCGGTGACACGGAAAGAGTGTTCCTGTGAACCTTGGGAGCAGAGGTCATCGTTTTCAACTTCATGCCCCTGACTGGCAACACAACCGCAGACAACGAGGTGGGATTGATTTTTGACGTGTAGAGGTGTGTGTGTGTGTGTTTGTTTGTTTATTTGTTTATTTATTTGTTTGTTTGTTTGTGTGTGTGTGAGACTCGAACCAAGTTATGGTGACGGTCATGTTCAAACCCACAATATCCATGTACATACGCATTGACCACGCTGATTTTCTGTTGAGGGCTATATCACGTGATGGCGAAGAATGAGAACCTAACCATGGCAGAAGTTTGTTGCCAAGAGGATGCGTGGTGCTTACCGACTGCACCAGGGAACCCAAGTGAATTGCCAGGGGCAGCAGGGGCCGTGACTTCCAGAGGCCTGACAAGGGCCACGGCAAGAGTGGCGAAGGAAAAGCCAAAACTGAGCCAAACAAAGCAGCAACAGTCGTACGAGATGAATCAGCGGCAGTGGGACAACTCCGAAGGAAGTTGTGGGATGCACGTCGACCTCTTCCAAAGGCAACCCGTCTTGGCAAGAGGGATCATGCCTTGGACAAGTGCGTTGGAATTTGTGACATGGAGCACGGATGCCCAGCTTTGGCCAAACGAAAATGGGTGCGAGAAGGATCACCGGGCCGGCCATGTAGCCAGGGGCCTCCAGGGGCCTCCAGGGCACGGGAGCGTTGCAGGGGCTTGCAATTGCTTTCTTCCCCGATTCAGCTGGTGTGACCTTACAGGCTGAGCAACATTAAGGCCCACAACGGTCTTGCGTAATTCAGCCTTGGAATTGGATGATCTTCGTTGCTGTCACCCGGACACCCACCTTGGAGCTCAACCCGCACTTTTTGAGATCGGGCTGGCAGATGAGCCTGGAGGTTGCGGAGTCCGTGAATTTGTTCTTTCATGGGCAACCCGCGGCCATCGTGCCTGCCGCCTTTCCGTGCACTCGAAGGGAGTCTGCAACTCGTATAGGCGCAGAGTGAGAAGTATGCACAGATCAGCCACTACTACGATTGCTTGCGGAAGTTTCGCCATCGCACATGCGGCATTTCGCAGCACCCGTCAGAAGCCTACATTTCCCACTGTTTTGTGGACGCGCCAGTGACCCGAACGCGAAGGCAGGGGCTCGGTGCAAAGCGGGAAAGGCCCGTGCATCGCATGCTGCAGGCTTCAGAGCAAAACAGGACCACTGGCCAACGCTGGCACTGTTCTAAGGACAGCACAACACGTTGGCCAGTCAAGGCTTTTCCTGACTTTGAACGCCTTAAGAGGTGCGGCCACGCGAGGCGCACGTGGTTGCCTCTGGGCAGTTCCCTGTGAAGGACTGCTTGCCGCGGCCTGCCTCGTCAGCACCGCCTAACTATGCGAACGGCACGCAAAAGCCTTAAGAGGCCGAAACACTGCAGCTATCAGTGCACATGCAATCACGTGCACATGCTTACACTACCTCCTGAACTTCATCCAGGCCTCTGGAGTGATGAAGGAGGCAAGCCATCTCGTGACCCGAGAACCCCCGGGCCATGACTGACATCACGCTTCCCTGATCCAGGGGCTCTGAGTCGTAGCGCGCAGACACAGGGCGTAAACACAAGTGCGGCGATGTTCCACGTCCCGAGGCTTGCCCATGCAACTGAGTGCAGCGCTGGCCCCACGGCTGCTGACGTTTTGGTGACTATTCTTTGCACTGATGTCATGCTTTCCACGCTTCTTGCTTCTGAGCACGGATCGGGGCCTCTGGTGCGACGATTGCTTTTCACTTGAAGGCGTACAGAGCACAGAGGTGAATGTATGTTATGGTGTCGGTGTGCAGAGCGCGGGGGTTTTGTTGCAAGCCTGCGTGCTTGCTCCCAGTGAGGTGTAAGCGTTTTACCGTGGCTGCCTTATTCCTGACTTTAAATCTTGTTAACCGATGCGCAAATACGTGGGCAGACCGATTTACCTACGTTGATCTTGCCGGGTTGAATTGCCTTTTGACCATACGACAAGAACGTCGAGGGGCGAGCTCACGCCCGTCTTCGTGACGATTTAGGACATGATCGTTTGAGCTCGGGCCCCTTTTCCTTTCTCGACTGATCTTAGTAGTGGCGTTTTGTTCACGAGTGGTTTGCATTTTTGGTGTTCCATGTCGTAGCGCTTCCGATCAGAGCTGAAGTGGCCAGGGGGCCTGGTCGTGAGTTTTCTCATGGGGCCGTGCAGCTCCCGGGCTGCCTCCACAGCTCAACTTGGAATGCCCAACCCTGCCCTGATTCGTAAAAAAACAATACCGGCGATGATGGTCGGATGTTGGAGAGAAGGCTGTCGATCACAACAGGAAGCTGGAGACATCAATACACCTTCGAAGCATCCAATGTTCGCCTCCCTTGCACAGGATAAGCTGAACAAGACCCAGGCTCTGGCAAATTGGATGCTGGAGCAGGCGGGCTTGGGTTTTGGCTTGAGGCGCCTCCTGATTCAACAGGGCCAGAGAGCAAGCAACAGCGATCTGAAACGCTTCAAGCATTGGCCTGCAACGGTTGGTGATTTTTCTTTGTCAAGGAAAACAAGACGTACCATTGGAGAGCTGATGCTATGGATTACATCGCCAAGCTAATCCGCGCGGTGAAAACTTATATGGTGGACGTCAATCCGAAGCATCTCGCATGCAACCTTAGTTTGCAGCCGTCCGCCTTTCGAGTCGAGCCAAGACCACCACCATTTGCTATGTTCGTGCTTACTTGGCACGCTCTTGGGAATTGCGCTGAGCAGCTCCACGTCTATAGATCTCGAGTACGCTTCGTTGAGGCATTGAGAGTAGACTGCAGTAGTGTAGCACTTGACATCAGTCCACGACGAATCCGACAATCACAAACTGAAGCACCTCAGGCACAAAGAAGATCTGCCGAGTGGCGTGCCCTTGTCTGCACCGTTCGTGGGCAAGTGCCCCGGCTGAAGGCTCCTGATCCAGAAAGGGCTGTGCTACGGCTCCAGCCGGGCAAGCTGCAAATAGAACCAGAGGCCTTCAACCTGATGTAAATAACACAAGGTTGCTAATCAGGCATAGCATCACAAAATCTAGCAAAGCTCTTACTGAAGTCTGGTCGGCAGTCCAGGTACCCTCCCTTCTCTGCTCCGGCTGGCATCGGTGAGTGGCTTGGGCGAGACTTGAATGCTGGGGCTTGGAGCTTCGGATGGAGATTCTGGCTACCAAGTCGGCTATAACATAGTTGCATTGCCGGTGTCCGTGAGAATTGCACCAAGAGCTGTGCTCGTACCGTGACATTGTCAAACTGCTGTGCGCCTAGCGTGGGGTGTTAGCCGTCTGGGTTTCAGGCTCACTTGTTCGACTCAAGTGCACAAATCCGGCTCCTGACTTAGTCCAGCTTGTCACCTCTGATAGCACGAATGACCGGAGCCCAGGCTAATGCAGCTACTCGCAGATACTGCTCGACATGGAGGTCGGCAGGTGGTACACAGCATAACCAGGATTGGGGTCCGAAACCTTTCAGCCTGCGGACCGGGCCAACAGCAAGGCCATGCAAAGCCGACGTTAGGCAGCTGATAGGCACTCTATTCCCGGGGATCCGAGGCGGTATGTAACCCAATGGTCCTGCAAATCCCTTCCGCCCATTCTTACAGGCCCCCTAGTATCAACGTAAATTTCGCAGGCTGCATCTTATTTGCAGCCAACCAGGGTCCGTTTAGGACAGCTACTGACCTGTACCCAACAAGGGCGTGACAAAGCAGGCAGACTGAGGCCTATGCGGTCACGAAAGCTAGCTCTGTGCGGCTTGCGGGAATTGTCGTTTACCACGTCGCCTCAGTATGTAGTAGAGACCCATGTCAAAACCACATGCCTGGGGCGGGGGGGCAGGCCCTCCCGCCCCTCTAGGACTCTAGAGGGCCCACCCTCGGCAACTTGAAGGTCACTGCTTTTGCGCAGTGATGCGCAGTGAATGCGGCATACGCGTTGTCTCGACCTGCATGATCGGCACGAGTTTCTAGCAGCAGTTGAGAAAGAGCTATCGGCAGGAGGGTGACTTGAAAAGTATCGCCTTACTACGCACGGGTTAGCCCAGCTACTGCACTTTCTGGCAAGTTACACTTTTGCGCGGTGAGCTCACTGACGATATGTCCTTGGTGCACTGCGAGGCAGAAAACTGGTTGGCTTGTGCCAGCCCAAAAATGCAAGTACACGCACGAAACTTTCCGTTGCACATAGTAATGACGAAAGCGTGCACTGTGTGACAAAGTGTGACAGCGAAAGCCTATAATTGCCAATCCGCAAGACTGAGCTCGGACTTGCAGGCTGTCTTATGGGTGGATTAAGGCTCGAGCAAAACATACTTGGAGGTTCATAGGTAGATATAAGTGGGGCTATACGTTCTGGTATACAACTATAGTTATCCTACTCAAACGGTACTTTTAATTAACCGTGAACCTTCAAGTACTGACCCAGACCGTATACCGCAGGCGTGGGTGCTGCACAATGTGCACGTCGCGACTACAGCATGTGTCTTTAGACACACAGTAATGGGTCGTATCCTTTCAGAAGAAACAAAAACAAGCGGGACTGGGAGAACTGACTTCAAACTTGCCTCCTTGTGCAAGCGTCAGGGTGCCGTGGTCGCTGCAACTCCCAGCGGAAGCTGGTTCTGTCTTCCGTAACAATGCGCGATGTCTGCAGTCTAGGACAGTCTGGGCACGCGTGTCACAGGAGGTTTCAAGCTCAGACCACCGACGCAGCATGGCCCTGGCACGGTGGTTGCGCCTAATCATTCGCAACTCGTGCCGGAGCTGAGCATGCACTGTAGAGGTTTCGTCGCCCTGACACACTTGCGAGACAAGGGGAAGCACGGCAGCAGCGTGCTTGGAGTGTGACCCCCACGTCCATCGGTCGGGCAAAAGCGGTCGCCTTGAGATTTGGGCCGTGTTCAGACATGTCTCCTTGGAGCCAGAATACGTTCTACCGCAGCCAAAGCGTACGTGCTGGCCTGTGCGAGGCTGACTGCCGCTGCGGGGCCACGACGGCCAGATCGCATGCAGAACGAAAGATGTTGAGGCTGTTAAGGCCCGAGCCGAGATGATTCACCGCGTCTTGAAACGATTCCGAGCTTGCTACCATGCTAGAAATGTCGGGATCGAGTGTCTCACTGCCCGAGGTGGCTTACGAGACTTCATTGCCAAATTGCGCACCGTGTAGTTTCCCGCGCGCTGCGGAGGAGGCTCCAGAACTATTCGAGCCGGCCAGAGACAAGGCGCACTCTCCGTCACGGCAAGCCGTCGAGAGCATGCTATCATATAGCGGCGGCCGCAAGTGGTGGAAGCTTGTCGAGTCACACCACGTGACGACAACATCGAACTCCCTGAGCCGATGGATGTCCAGCTCTTTTTCGGCCTTCCGGGGCTTATCAGACAGGAAGCCCCGGTGATGAAAGCTTGCACCAGCAACAACACAAGCTTCGACATTATATGTGCTACTCTCGTGACGACTCACCACCGCACAGACAAGCGTACTAGGCCGCGGTGAAGTACCAAAGGTTCCCGAGGCAAAGGCCAAGGCTTCACCAGACGCGCATATGTCGCCGAACGCGAAGAGCAAACGTACTTCGACAAGGTTCATTTGCAGAGCAGGAGCCTTTCGACGAGACCTCAAACCCGGCCTAAAATGACGAGGACGAACATGAGCCCCCCCGCCCTCCCTCTACGCAGCAAGCAAGGAGGAACAGGCGAGCTACGAGATCGAGATTCGAGCTCCATGATGACGAGGCCTCGGCCTTCAATGCACTTCGGGCACGCCACAACTGACCGTAACCTCGAGGCGGTTGAGGCCGAGGCAGCCGCGTGGCGCTGGCACTGGCACTAGAGGAGCGGATCCCCAACCACAGATCGAGAGCCCGGGGATGGTGCACTTTTTCGACAAATAGATCCGCTGCGGACCGACAGTCACTGAGGCAGTTTCATGCCGGAACACTTCGCACATCGTGGCACAGAGTTTATCCTTTGCTTGCTGGCCATCGAGGAACATATCAGCTCCCACCGCCTGCCAGCCGATCAGCAATCCTTGTACTGCCAGACAAATCTTGCCTTACACGTCAGCGTGCTGAGGAGCAGGCTGGTCGGCGGTCGGGATGAAAGTCATCAAACACTTGCAGATTTTCAGAAAAGTTCTTATCGCTGCAGCGCACCAAATGACTGGCATGTTGCCCCAGATGGTCATCGGTGTCCTTGCACTTGGCCACCTGATGGAGAAACACGCAAGCTGCGCCGGGCTGGAGAAGACGTTTAGGCCACGCAAGCTTTACAGGGATGCCATGGGTCCGACTCGTAGCCCTTTCGTTGCCACCCAGAAAGCTCGACCAAAGAGGTTCAAACGTTTGACGTACCGTGACGGGTCCAGAACATGTACGAGCTTTGTCTGACGCCAAGAGACCGAAGAGATTGTCAAAACAGGCAAGTTGTCATCTCAATATTACAAAGCCGTGCAAAGGATTGTGTAGCCGATGCTGATGCTGGGTATGATCAAGACATGATCTTCCTTCCACTTGTGGAGTGGAGAACACCGCTGCGAGAACCACCGTGCGCAGGCGATAGTCGCGGCGATAGTGCATGCCCTCCGTAGGACAAGCAGGAATCAGTGATGTTTCTACAAGGACATTAATTCATCCTTAGCATTTGGAAATGTGCCACAGTTACAAGGCCTTGTAGCCAATTTAGCAAAACCATTCCAGAATGTGGGGATTGTCACGCCGGAAAACACGGCATGCAGTACGACCCTTCATTAGGGGGGCAGAAGTTTTGCTGCAGCTTTCCTCGTTTCAGTCAAGTACCAAGACCACCTCATGTTTCGCGTTATGAAGTTGGAACTACGCAACATGCATGTGAGCTTCGAGTATCACGGAAAGTGGTTCCTGAGTGAGGGTGTAACATTGAACAACCACTTGGCAAGGACACAAGACATTACGCTGCACATATACGTATGTATAACGTATATATATATATATATATACACATGTTCTATTCTCTTCTCTTTTCGTCTCTCTCTATAAGTGTATTCATTTTTATGTGTACACTTACATCTGTGCTTATAACTGGTATTTGTGTTTGTGTTTACATTTATATTTACATTTATATTTACATTTATATTTATGTTTATATTTAGATTAATATTCATATTTGTATATATATATATATATGTATGTATGTTTATATGTTTCTGTTCATATCTACATATATATATATATATATATATATGATTACATGAATATTCACTTATACCTACGAGAACTGACATGCAGCAACTTACCTCTTGATGTGTATCTCTCTGTCTCTCATTTTGGTAGTAACGTAGTATGGGTTGGAAGAATTTGGATGTGCGCACAATCCGAAATCAGTGTGTAACTGGCAGGCTTCCAGGTGGGCATCTCGCATCCCCCAATCGGTCCTGGACAAGCTGACCGCCTCACAGTCGTTTCTCGCTGAAAGTCAGAGGCTAAACAAAAGATCAGTGCGCCTCCCCCCCACCGCAAAGTGCCTGAATCTATGTCATGCCTTCGAAACGTCCCTGGAAAAGTGAGACACGTGGTGAAGTCTCTTTCGTCCTGCTTCACGGCTCAGGCTGTCTTTTAGGAGTGGGTTCACAGTTCCCCAAGTTGTTCGCCAGGAAGTCGGCCAAGGCGCCCCGAATCTAGGCATGACCGGGCGAGGAAACCACGATCTGTAGAATCCCGACAGCCTCCTGAGCCGAGCCCAGGTTCGCAGCAAGTGTGTGTGGGATATTGAGGAGGACTGCCATCTTGTGCCGGCCAGGAGCTTACAACGTTTGTGGCAGAAAGGCATGCTCAGCCAAGCTAAACCACTGTAACGTCGTAGCAGCTGCTGGAGAAAGCCTGGTTGGTGCTGTATCGCGACATCGTCCTTGCTTCTTGAGTTGCCGAGTTGACCGAAGATACTTGATATAGGGTCGGGTAGTAGCTTCCTCACATTATATGTAGCATTTTAAGGTGCACAGATCTAGTCGCCAACCTAGCCTCGAGGAACATATGGACACTTTGAACACAAGCGGTGAGCGTTGGCTGTGAGCCACTTTCGAGGGTCAAGCTGAGCTTGAAGCAGCAGCTCGTGTGGAGGCTTTCGGGATTGCACCAAACTGCGCCGTTCGCCTGTGAAGGCTACGGTTGCCAACACGACCTTCGCTGGCCACTTGCTCTCGCGAGACGACGCTGCTTTCCCCTTTCATGGCCAACGTGAGTCCGCTTGTGGAGTCAAGGACAGCGACAACCTGATGGCACATGTAGCTAAGCATGGACACCGTTGAGTGCGGTGCATTGGCATCACATCCCATTTAAGCATGTGGGCATGTTCGGCTAGACTGTTTCATGATTCTGAAGGCCGTTCACCATGGGGTCTGGAAGGCAACAGACTCCTGGGACAAGCCCCCTCATAGCTCAATACTCCCATTATCACAGACTTGCCAGCCACGCCGGTACCTGCCCTAGTACGCACGGCTTGAAGCAATTCTCGTGGCATCCGCATACATCTGCAGTGCGATTGAAGACACCTTGTTCAAGAACCTTTCGAGCAGGACACCGATGCACAGGGTTGGGCCAGCTGGATGCAACGCATCCGAAATCCAGCCATGGTAGCGGAGGACATGCCGATCACGAGGTGTCAGGTGTTATCACGGAACACATTCGCATGCAACATGGCAATCACGATAAGCTGTGTGGCTGCTTCAGAAACACAAATCATCGACGCACTGAAGTCCTTGCCATGGCCTTGCTGTGCAAGGATGGAAAGCTTTCATTATTTGACATCAAAGAAATATTTGTTTCTGGCCTGTTGCTGTGTATGGTCAGTTTTTCTCTCAGGGGTCTTTACAGCTGAACACTGTACTGGGGAAGAGGGTGCGTGCACATAATTTCAACAGGTAGAGCAATTGATCAGGCTCGACATGTGCGGCTTCCAAGTAAGGACAAGACGCACTTCTCGTACATGCCATACAGCAGGTGCTCTGCTCTTACGAAAAGATAGGAGAATGACTGGCTGAAACTTTGGCCAGAAATAACCTACCCACATTCCATTCTAAACGCGCGCCTGTCACTGAACATTCCTGTCATGTGCCTGAAGAAACAATGCTGCCGTCCACATAAGGTTGATATAAAGTCTTACCGTAACATCTTCATAGAAAAATCTTGTCACAATTTGGGTAGACTGAAGGACAGAGGCATAAATAGTAGTGGAGCCTCTTTCAATCTTTCCGGCCTCACATCCGAAGATGACGGCCCGAGACACAACAAATAAGTTGTTCCAGGCTCGCTCCCTGCTCCGAACACATCGACGGCCCGGTGCTTCTGCAAGATGGAACTGGCACAGGATCCCGGTGTTTTGGTTGGCGTCAGTTGACATTGGTGCAGGACCGCACGTTCGCAAGATTCACATTCAGACTCAAGCACAACGACAACCACTTCTGCTACTGCGAGGCCGGAAGGCAGTTCTTTAAAGGGTTCTCGTTCAAGCGCGGAATCTCCGATGCTTACACCGACAATGGAACCGTTGTGATGCTCTCTCAGGGGGTTCCTTACATTCAGAGCGTGAACAACGAGGCATCATAATCAACCGGCAATCGAATGCTCATGAACACGAGACCCGATGTGTGCGACAATGGGCACAGACGTTATCGATGTAAATGTAGGCAGAGTCTGGTACTGGATACCAAGACGAGCATTGCCATCCAATTGCTGGGAGGCTCCGGACTGCGCAAAGAACGTATCCTGGCGGTATGATCAAAAGCCAGCCATCGCAGAGAAGGACAGACCTCAAAGCTTTAGGCATCAAGCATCGAGGGCTGTTTGGGTTTCGAATGAACAATCGACCGAGGCATGCCTGCGCTTTAACTGCAAATCTGTGGATGCTCATGACTGTCAGGACTTCGCCCGCCAAAAGTGCCTTCCACAGCGCCTGGGTAGCTGCGGAAGTTTTGTTGGGGTAAATTGTGCAGTCGTAGACATCGGACTCTAAGTAACGGTGTACGGCACTTGCAGGCACAACATGTTTCGATCGAAGTCGCGAGAACTGCGTTCTGTGAAACCCTGATCGTTCCCGACTCCCGGCACGAGTCCCTTAGCGGGTCTGGCATGGGGCCTGGGCCAATCATTGCAAACGTGTTCCGTGATCATGAGCACTTGAGGAATCGGCAGTCGACATTTGTCGTCATTTGTACCTCTTTGCACTGTTACACTGTACCACATGCAGGCGGCATATTGTTTGCAACACCCTGCAATTAAATCGAGACCCTAAACTGAAGCCAACGCCATGGCCAGTGAACTCGCGAGAAACATTCCATGCCCGAAAATCTGTAGCAGTTTGTTACTGGCAATTAGTACTATCTGACTATCTTGTTCAATCGTAGTTCTTCCCAAGGCGGCTTCCTTGGTTGTGAATCTAAATCCTGTCCATCCAGGTACGTCCATGTGGGTGACGGGAATTGGTGCCATGGCAGAATAGGGGCCCAAAAAAGCACATAAGCAAAAAATAGGATAGGGATATCCCATATAAACCCCCTTATAAAGAACCCCAATAAGGTAGGGATATCCCTATAAAACGCTTATGCTTATGTGCGTTTTGGGTCCCTAACAGAAGTAGTTGCAACCTTCGGGAAGGGGCGGTGTTGAAGGATGTCGCTTCTTTGCCTCACAGACCATCTTTGCAATCTGTTGTCTGTTTGCCTTAGGCCTTCTTTCCGAGCTTTAACTCCGACGTCCATTTGGTTTTCAGTTCTGGTGCAGGCATCCACTCGAACTTCAGAATGGAGATCAGGCGTTGACCAGGGCAAGGAAAAGGAATCAACAAGGACGTTGGACATCTGTGGCCTGGGGAATGGACAGCAAACTGGAAGGGTTTGTTGGTTGGGGCCGGCACGGAAAACAAAACCCGAAGCCTTGCTGAAGTGCAAAACACGTGACCGATCCGGGTTTTTTCCATTAAGTGTTGATTCCGCCGGCTATCCTGCTTTTCCGTTTACCGTTCCCTTGCCTGGATGTGGCTGCACAGCCCTTCCGCGAATCAGCGGGCGTGTCATAACTTGCTGTTGGAGACTCTTGTGATTCTTGCGGTGGTGGGCCACAGACAAAGAGGCTAAAGGCGAATGGTGACGGATCCCGAGCGGAGGAGCAGGAACCGCAAAGGCTTGCAACTCCAAGTTTGCACTGGATGGGAAATGCATGTGCAGAGTCCCGAAATTCCCACGTAAAACTCCAGTCGGCAGGAGTTGTTATTACCACGCATAGATTGCATGTGTCAGTTTTATTGTCACACCTGCAGCTTTGCAGCCGGGTCACGGTATCCGGCATACCACGCCCCCAGGCACATGTCACTCATCGGTGGCAAGCTCCTGGGCGTGCCTGAAGACGAGAAGCAGCCGCCACGTTTGCTGCTCGTAAACCCCAAGGACCCCCGCAGCCTGAGCAATGGCATTGCTGTGAACAAACGTGATGTTCAGCTGTCCGCATTCGGTTGCAACCAGAAATGTCGGGAAGGGCACCGGTTCGTGTTTAGGTGTCCGACAGTGCGTGGTGTTTCAGACCGCCTTTAAGTGGAGAAACGAGACCCTAATGATGCTACTGTTTTGTGCTTCGGGCAGGCTGGGCGAACGGCGGTCGTTCTTGTCGTCGGCCGCGTCTGTCCCAACAGACCGTCTGGAAGCGAAAGAATGTCGCCACACGAACTCAAAGTTGTTGTGTGGCTTGAGAAAGGATTGGTTAGCGCGGCGGCGGTTTGTCTTGTCAACGAAGCTGGTGCCAGGCGTACACCTCCCCACGGCAAGTGTTGAGCCGAAGCACGTTAGACCAGCCTCTAGCCAAAGTAGCCGCAAAATGAAGAGTCCATGCCGTCATAAAGCTACCCGAGCTCAATAGCGCGAATGCGGCAAAGAGCAATGCACGATCGAAATCATGAGCCCCAGGCCTCGCGCTGTGCTTCGAGAGTCGGTCTGAGTTGGAAGCCTTGCACTGCAGCAATGTTGTGGCCTAAAACCAAAGGAAGGGTAGCAGCCCTCGGCCTTCAGGGTACTGAGGCTGGTCGGGATTACGGGTGACGTTGGGGTGACGGTTTCAGCTTGCAGGCAGCGCGGTGGAGCGGACGTCAGCACAGAAACGACTTCTGGCTTGCACATGAAGCATCGGCAAGTGGACGGCCACGCAAAAACGACTTCTATGGCCTCTACATAAGCAGCCGTGGCATGTTTCATGCCGTATATGCAACTACACACCCGAGCCGCGCCGTTCTCTTACGGCCGCTTGACCTTTCGCGGACGGCGTTGCGACGGCTCGGAGCTTTAGGAGGACCATCTCAGCGCGACAAGCTTCGCACGTGCCCGATTGGGGCCACATCTACCCTGCCTCGCCAACACCATTGCTCCTCGCTTCTTCGCAGCAGATGTCGTTGTGCATGATCGCGCAAAGACTCCGAAAGGCGACAGCAATCTTCACACTCCTCCGCGATCACTCGCAAGATTGCTTCACGACGGTGCAAACTGTGCCCGGCAGAGGGTTCGGATCACGGAATCTCATCGGCAGATGGTGTCGGAAGAAGGTGCAGACAGGAAGTCGGCCATGTTGTTTTCCCTCTGTCTAACTCAGGGGTTTCTTGATCTTGACTACAGGGTCTAGAGCGTTCGCTGTTTCGACTCGGGCTTTCACAGTTTCTGACGCGGTTCTGGTGGGTTTCGACTCGAATTCCCGACTCGCCTGTCAATCGAAGGGCTTTGGGTCCGCTCTGGGCAGTGTTGCTGTCTGACCCCTCTCCATGACATGGAGTGTTTTCAATCCGCAACTCCAGGATGTTGAAACTGTTTCGGGCGATATGGAGACATGTGCTACAGGATCTTGGACAAGGCGGAATCCAACCAGCAATGCAGGGCGTCTGCAACTCGTCTTGTCCTGATGTTCTTGCAAGGATTTGTTCCTGAGTGTTGGCTTCGGCTGTTTGCTCGCGCAAGAGAGTGCAAGTTTGTCCGAGATTCCATGTTGTTCATGTCTCAGCAGCTTCGAGGGTTGGACAGTTGTTGTTGGCCCAACCAAGGTCACAAGCCCAGGGGGTGGTGGTGTCGGACAAAAGCCTACGGGTGGATGCTTGACGACATTTTTGTGAAGATCGTGCTGCAGAACTCCGAGCGAATCGAGCATAACGGGCAGCAGTGAATGCAGCACAATGGCAATGTCGAATATGACACCAGCTGTCGGATGCCAGGAGCCAACTTGTAGCCGCGCACGATGGTCGAGTGGCCTATGCACTTCCGAGCAGAGGCCAGCACATCCTCGTTGTGAACTTGACCACGTGCCCCAGCTGCAGTGGAAGGACAGAACCATGCTATCATAGTTTCCCGTACTGGCGCATGTGCTCAGACTTAAAGGACTGCTTGCACATGTGCTGTGCATGCATGCGACCTAGTGTAAGCACTTGCAGAAGGGTAAGCTTGTTGAAACCGCCTTCGAACCAGCAGCTGTGATTTTTCAAGCTTGAAGTGCATTCACGTCATGGCATGCCAGGAGGTACTGCGACACCATGTTATGCTTGCAACTCGGAGCTGAGGAGCACGCCGCTTCAGTGGACAATCCAGACCAGATTTTGGGGGAAGATTTGGCCTGGGCCGTTGGAACTCGGAGGAATCGTGGCCACAAGCACCAGACTCTACCTTATTCCTGGCAGAGGACACGAATTCAGGTCATTGGACCTCCACAAAACGAATACGAGCCTTTGGCGCGCATTGGTGAAAAGTACATGGTGATTCTGTCTGACAAAGTTTGGCCTTTATGTCAGTAGTTAAGGCAAACTTGCTGAATTCGGCTCGGTCGGGCAGACATTCACCAGAAATCGCATGTGTTGCTTGATACGAGCATGTCGCGATATTTTTTCAGATGCTCATGACCCAGCATGATCCTCGACACGGATTTATCTTACGCAAACGCACACACACACACACACGAATGGGTGCTTTCGGTCAGATCTGCCAGTTGAGACGCCCTTTCGTAGACAGTACGCCCGGTATCTTTGAGCTCGTGTTGACTTCAACTGCTGACGCATGAACGACACTCGAAAGACTGCATCTTTTGTTTGATCATGATATGACTCAACTTTTGTGATCATCACATCTTGTTGATGCAGCATTGATGAGTTTGTACTTGCTTCAGGAACCCAAAGCTGTGGAAGGTTTCCGGGCATCTACCAGAGCTGCAGGTCCAGGCCATGCAGATAAGTCCCAACTGTCCTCATTGTCAACCCGAATCGCAAGAGTCGTCTATTGCCAGACAATGAAGTGGAGCTTCGCCCTTATCGTGAACGACAAGCTCTTCACATGCCCATTCAACGTACAGGCTCGGGGTAATAGTTGGGTGGGAATGACGTTTTCCAGCTAAGCTTCTTGAGCCTAAGACTAGTCTCACATCGAGGCATCTTATTGTAACATGCACTGTGCGCAACATGGAGCAGTCCCAGCTGCAAGAGATACTGTTTCTTCGAAGAATTGTGGTCAGGGCTCGCCTGACGACATGTCTCGTTGTTCTGCTGACTTTGACCATTCGGGCAGATCTCGATGCTGGCTCTGACGTAGGGTTCAGCAGTGGCTTTGAGGTCTTGAAAAGGGCAAACCCTTGCTTGTTTTCTCCATTACAATGAGCAGGACCATGACCGAATTTTTGTCGGAGAACCACCATAACGCATGACTCTTCAGCTGATGGGCTCACGGCACAAGTGACGCTGAGCTGCTGAGGTCATGCTCGATACTTGGCAAGCACAAACTCAAAGGGGGCTGGTGATCTGCCAACCAAGCCACAACTGGCTTGTCTGATTCTATCGACCGGGGGTAGTCAGGAATGTGCTCATTTGTGCGGAAGAGGTTTGTCTGGTCATCGTACTTGCATGGGCAACAACTCTTGTCGGTAGCCAGGTGATTGACATTTTCGAGAGTTCGGTCGTCCAGCGGATCGAAACTTGGAAGGCTCGGCACTCCAACTTTGAGCAAGGGGTTCCATGGATGTAAATCAGTGTGCCATGGTGGCATCGTTTGTTTGGGAAGTAGATAGAAGCAGATGACGCAGGTATTCAATGGTGGGGAGGCCTGGAAGTCTCTGCTTGCCCATGATGGCCATATCTACGCCTCTCCTTTCAATGCCAACAAGATGCTGCCTCAGCACGAGATTAGTCGGGGGTGCTGCAACTCTACATAGGCCAAATTAACCAAAGAGTCACACGACTACAATCTATAGAACCATGACAGGTGTTGCTCAGACAGTTTGTTGGCACCCACCTTTGAGATGGCCTGTCTTCTAAGATTCTAAGCTCAAAGGAGTCGCGGCAACCCGGTACCGTCCGGCATGTCTCAACGTTGCTTGGGGTTCCTCGAGCGAAAGTATCGCGTATCCCGTATCGTATCGGATGCCACGTGTGGCACTTTGGACAGGAGCTACCGTTGGCCTTGCTTTCTGAAAAGGACAGTGTGGACATTCTGCAAGTTTCTTACAAAGAAGCCTTCTCCCGTTTCGGATCTTCAACATAATGCCAGTTGCGGACCTCAGTCGCCTGCTCTGGCTGCCCAATATCCAGCAGACGCCGCATGCTTAGCCAAGGTTAGTAGTGGATGCTCACCGCCACGGCCAGGATTCCATAGACGTTCGTGCCCCGACTATCTGTGTTGAGCCTAGACACTAGGAACTCTGGTGTAATCTCTGTGCAATGTCTAATGACAGTAGAAGCTTCCGGCACTTGATGGCAGAGCTGAGTTTGATGGGGCATTTCCTGATCGAGTTTGCAGTTCGGCAAACATGTTTCGTGCAAAAAGTCCGCTCCATCCTGGTATTCGGCCCTAACTTCGGGATTTCGGGCATCTTGATGCGCTAAGTGTTGAACTAGGGCCAATATACGAGTAGGTCTTGTAATTTTTGGTTTGCTGTTTCCCCTCTATGACATCGCTGCCCTCGTATGATAGGGCCAAGGATCAGGCTTTTCATCGGAGGATCCCTTGAATCCAGATCTGTTCACAGAGCTGAGGCAGAGTGGCTTCAGGACAGCGCAAATGGAATGGCATGGCTCAGAAAGGCGGGGAGCCGCCTGTCCTGTCTGTGCCGGTCGTACGGATGAGCTGAGCACAGTGGAACGGACCGATCGCTGAGTTTGGCTGTGTTTTGGAGGTGGGTCCACGTCTGTCATGGGATGGGCCACAGTCTCTTTGTTCGGTGGGTGTCCATACTGGCCAAGTTGCTGAAACCTTCCACGCTGACCCAAATTCCCAAACTTCAAGCAGTTCAGAGCACCCTGCATAACCTATCGAATTCGACTTGACAACGCACCTCGTGGAATGCAGGCGGCGTCATCTTCGCAGCACCGGTCGATGCGCCTGCCATCCTCGTGCTAGACACTGCCAGCAGGACGCCTTCATGGCATTGTTTCGGAAGGTGTGTTATGGCTCTTAGAAGCACCGCCGTGTTCCCCTGCATGTCGGAGCCGAAGTAGTACTACAGAACCACTGGGATGAGGGACCCGGACTGACTTTGGACTTTGTGAGGCAGCTGGTGTAGTGTAGGGCCGATAGTGGCAGAGCTGGAGTCGCGAAGTCGCGACCGCGAGCCAGTACCGACCGCGAGTAGCTCCAGCCGGGCTCCCAAGCCCGAGCGGAGCTGCAGCACTTCGACATTGCGTCCTCCCACTTCTCTGGGACGTGGCCGGACGTCAAGAACCGTACGGCGTCAGGGATGTAAAACGGAGCTTCGAATCTCTTACACTTTGTCGTCGTAGAACGAGATTTCGTGATCTCCTCGTCTGTTGCACTTCGACGTGGACCGTTTTTTCACGAACATGCTTATCGAAACTCGCCGTCTTAGACTCTGCGGACCCACCACTTGAAGGATAAATAGTTACATGAACCCGTCTTTGCACATAGGTATCTGTATCGAAACGCCGGTAGCACTGCAAACGAGTATAGGATTAGACGTACCGCTTTCAATTTTCGAGCAATCTCGCAACAGCGACAGCAAGAGTGATAGGTAGCCCCTTCAAGAGCCTGCAGACCGTGTTGCTGTATCCAGGCATGTCGGGCTGCATGGACGCACAGCCCATGTCTACCACATCAGTCAAACTCCTGCTTGGCTATATAGTGGAGCCTGCAGATCGAAACGATAAGTCGCCGATCGTAGGCTTCTGTGGCACCTTTGTACCGATAGCACCGCTACCTGGTCAGCACCCGGCTGCTGAAGCCCGGCTGCTGATCCCACCGCCAAAGGCGCGGAGCACATGGTCTGGGCCGTCAGGACGCGTCGCTGCGGGGCTTGTGTGCGCAAATTGGCGTATCTTTTATCGCGTATAGACTGCATGGCAGTGCGTTTCACCAAGACAGCACAGCACTAACGGCCTTGCTTTCTCAGTCAGGATGGGTCATCTCTATGCCTTGCTGAAGCCGGATCTCATAGTCTCGGACTCGCCCTCACGGACTCAAGAAGGAGCCTCTCAGCTTAGCCGACGTAGCGCACTCTTCGGAGCCTTCCGCCACGTGGCTTGGCTCGGCAGAGCGCCGAGCTGGGTTCCTCGAAGCTTCGCGGGAAGAAGCAGCGGGGCACGACGGCGACACGGTCTCCACGACCGGCCCTGCTCGGCACGGCCACTGGGTCCGGCCGGCATCGTAGCAGGATTCACACACCTCCAAAGCCGGATGCTACCTGAGTGGGCACGTAAACGACCAAGGGTTCAACCCTCCCTTGTGGTACAGCTCTGCGGCTTCACTCGTTGTCACGGTCACAGCCCGCGTACGTTGAGCTCTTCGAAGAAGGTCCCGCAGTGGCTTGTTACTCACCGACCTCAAGTACTGCCGTGCCTCAATGGCGATACGCTCGTTGTCCTCCTTCGTCATGGGATGCGGAGGATCCTCGCTATGGCGGCAGTCGCCGAACTTCCGTAGCAGACAATCAGAACCACAACCACATCAACAACCAGTACAACAAGAGCAACAGCAGCAGCAGCACCACCACCATCACCACGATCAGCACCCATGGTTCTCCGCAACACGGTCTCCAGCCTGGGAGGGGCTACCACCACCCCCTCCGCCGCTCTGTCTAAGCGCGTGTGCGTACCACCACCCTTCAAAGCAACTTGGAAAGCAAGTCAAGAAAGGGGTGGGGAGCCTCCCTATGAACTCGGCCAGCTTGGGAATAAAGTGACTTTAAAGGAGGGTGTGCACCAAGGCACTGTTGGAGCTGCGCTGGTAAACACAAAAAGTCTTAAGTCAGTTCTCGCACCCTGGTTCGACCTCATCCATCTACTCTTCGACCTCGACCGTCTCCTCTTCCTGGTCGCCACCCGCTGCATCGGGTGGCTTCGTAGAGGCCCCCCGCCGCACAGGCCAACCATTCCGCTCGGGCCCTCCGTTTCTTGAGCTTATCTTTGCGACCGGATCGTACGTGCGGGCTTTCTTCGTTCCCGGCGTCTCGTGTTGCCTGCCGGGGTTATTCCGGCACTCGCATCCAGGCCTTGAGCCGGCGCCCGTCTCGGTGCATCAAGCCCGGTACTCGACTCCGGAGGCGCATTGGTGCCGCGACGATGGAATGCGAGTTGGAGTTTAGTGACTTTCCTCTTATGTACAATCAGACAGTGGTGGTGGCTCATCTCGGCCGTCTTGGCGGGTCGAAGGTAGAGAAGAGAGTATCAAGTTTTTTTGCAACATTTGCATAGCTCCGTGCTCGGACGAGATGGGTTTCTGATGGCTTTCATTTTGAGCGACAGCGCTTGCGTTGGTTGTTGTACTCGTGAACCCTCAAGTTTCATGTTGTGGATCAGGAGATCTTCCTCCCACATGTTAATGAGAAGACGGAGCTCCGTTCCGAAAAGGCCACTTCACAATATTCAATACTAGTTGAACGCGGGGGGTGGTGAAAGGTATATACACACACACACACAAACCCTCCACGTTTTTCATGTCACATCCGGATCAAATTATCCTATGAACTTTCATCATACTGTGTCATGTTCTGCAGGGCAAAGAATTAGACCACATTGCTTGTCATCCATCGTCAAGACAAGAGCTTGCCAGTAGTGACCTACACTTCTGCATTTTTTGGATATTCGATACTGATCAGTTGCCATTCTACACCTGCGGAAGTTTGGTAAGCCCGCCAGGAGTGCTGCTTTGTTCGAGCTTCGTTGTAGTCACATGGCAAAACCATACTGTAACAAGGCCAGAGCCGGACACCCGCCGCGTTCATTCATGGCGAATCTACGAAAGAAGCCTCGGTTCTGGTAAGTAACTTGCACTAATGGGTCACTGAGGTGACCCGGAACACAGGTGATGATCCAAGACTGTCTGAATTGACGGACCCTTCTCCACCACACCACTGGGTTGCGGTGTCTAGTGGGGTCTGTAGACATCGAGTTTCCTTCAACTCATGCCCGGAACGAATCGGAGGAGTGTTTGGGGTCTGCCCGTGGCGCGCCGCCGTGGTTCGGAGGGAGCCTTCAACACCATCACGGCTGTTGGCAACCGTCTCATCCTGCACTTGGACCGCGATATTCTCAAGTTTGGAGTCCCAGGTTTACAAAGATTGCTTTATTATGGAGACGGATGGACTTCCCATCCCTTGGGGTTTCGGTTTACGCACAGCCTGGACTAGACGGCGGTAGCCGGTAGCATTGCACAGCGAGTGTATCGGGTTTCTGTCAGCCGACAACCTGCATCAACCTGACTTTCAATATACTTATGTGCTTGCATGACGCATGACAAGTGCTGGCTCCACAGCCTTTTCTACACAAGTACGTCCACACACACACGCATGTGCGCAAACGGAGGCCGTTTTTACCATTCAATACCAATCCTGACACTAGGACAACGGTAGAAAGCCTGCCCGCTTGTTGACAGCAGAGCATTGTGTAAAGAAACCTTCTGCGGACCCTAGGTGCCCTGCATCACGCAGAGATCTACTCGTCCTGGACCACGTCGACCAGATCACTGAAGCCATCCGTGCAAGCCGTGAGTCCGCTCGGTATACTTCATGCAGCGCCAGAGTTGCGAGCTTCAAGTTCTGACTTCTTTCGCAGCCTTGATGTTAAATTAACAGTTAACAGTACCGATGTGGCACACTTGAAAGCTACGTTGTTCCAAACTCAAACTGGTTCTGTTCCCGGTTTGCCTCTGCGAATGTGCCGCAGGCTCCGTACCTGTCCTTGTACAGAACCATTCTATAGCAGACCATTGCAGCAGCAACCCTTCGTTCCTGCAATTAACATGGTGACATGTTTGGCCACTCGAACCGCAGCCATGCTGCAAGCCTTCAGATGTTCAAACCCTGCCTTCCTGGGGTTAGGATGCTGCAATGATTGGTGCCTAGGGCCCGGGATACAGTTCGGATTATGGCCTGGCCGCTCAAAAAAGCTTGATCTTCGAGTGGACTCCACCAGATGTTGTGGGACCCGTGAAGGCTTCTGGTGGCTGGAATGTTTGGAGCTCCTAGTCAGATGTGTTGCAGCAGCCCAGCTCCGGAATCTGACGACACCTGGTTATCAGCTCTTGATACACTTGTTCGTAAAGCCCGAACAACGACTGAAGCTGCCGGCACTAAGTAGCCAATGTACGTGATAGCAAACAGCGAAAGGTACGGAGTGAAGATTTGCCCCATGTGCCATAGACATGCTGTCCCTCAAAGACTCAAAGAGCAAACCCCAATCCAGCTCACCCTTTGAAAGAGGGCCCTTGCTTCTGAATGCAACGTATATATATATATATATATATACATATATATCACCGCAGTCTCTGCTCGAGAGTGTTGGCTACGGCTTTACAGCCGGCCGATGCCAGAGCCATCTACCAATTCCACGTTCCATAGGAGCTTTGCCCGCATCAGCAACTTCCAGCACATCACCATGTGCCATCCCTTCGGGAAATTGAGGCTCGACTGGCCATCTAAAATCGAAAGCGCAAGCCGAGGACTTTATGAGAAGATGCGAACTGTGCCTGCAACCTGGCTGCAGATGCTGGGACATGTCTCTCAAGGGGCCAGCCTAGTGCATGGCTCCGTTTTCACGATACCTGGCTTCTTGTCGTGCAGCTACTGCAAGATTTGCTGAGCATGCAAGGATATGGTTCCTTGTCCCAAGTTGCATGCTTGCCGAGCGCTGCGCCCCGAGTTTATGCGCAGAGTTGTTGTGCCTTGCGCGGTACAGTCCCAGTGAGAAAGCTACTTCACAAGAGTCCCACCTCAGCTTTACAGCTTCATTACTGGAATTGTCCACTGACTTTTGTCAACAAGCCATGGAATCTAAAGCAAGCAGAACTTGCTGCCAGCAGCAATACACGATCAGGGCTGTGAGTACAGGAGGGAATTTTCCGGACATCCGCAAAACCAAGAATTTTCATTTTTTCTGAGGCCATGAGAGCAGAGACCCGCTCCAGACGCAACAGGATTCTTGTCAGAATGTACCAAGAGTCGGTTTGCTTGTACATTCCTGAAACCCTCAGATGCAGTTCAGGCAGATGAGACTGATCCGGGCGAGTCGGTGGTCAAAGGAGCCCATGCGTCGGCATCACGGGAGATCCCAAAGACGCTCAGTGGAAACCCTCGCAATCTACCAAACATCAGCAGGCAGAGTTCGGTGTTGGGGCCGAAAAACCCTAACATACGAGTCCTTAGAGCCATGGGGTGAGGGCAAAACCGATCTCAGGACAGGTATCCGACGTTCTCATGCGCTATCAGATTCGGAGGCGCCCAGGGGCTTTAGGGCGCACCTGTAACCAAAACACCTGCCGGTTTAGGACCCCCCCCCCACGTACCCCTTAAAGGGTTCTGATATTTCTCAGTCAGGAGTAAGTAGGGGCTACAATAAAGGGTAGTTGGGGGGTCAAGGTAGGGTTCCTTGAGGTGTCGCCATTGAGCGCCGGGCTTGATTGGAGTCCTTGCGTTTTTAGAGCTGAGTAGACTATGAAGACGGCAAGTTCCGATGAGGAGCCTCCTAAGGAACCTACATTTTTCGGGTTCCTTATCATGAGTTCCTCATATGAGTTCTGAAAAGGTAGGAGGGTTGCTTGAAAATTAAGTAGGCCTTACAACCCGAAATACCGAAAGCACCAAACCAAACCCTAAAATGCAGAACTCGAAAGCAACTACGCTCTTCAGAATGCCATGGGACTTAACAAGCATGGTTACTGGGGTGAAAAGTAACTATAAGTACCGTTAGCCTACCAGTAACAATAACCGTAATTACTGAGTCACATGGTTTTGTAAGTGGAGAAGCACCCCTAAACCCCGAAACCCTAGGGTTTAGGGTTACATCCTGAGCCCTAAGCCCCTTACACTTCATCCCTAACCCCGAACCCTACTCAAACTCAACGAATCATGTAGGGTAACCGTACTTATAATGACTTATAGCCCCACTTAAGGTACTTCTAAGTTATAACCATACTTACTTAGTCCTACGATCCTTGAAGTAGACTGGAACCGCTAAAGCGCCCAACCAAAGACGCGAGACCCAGGACCTCGGTCTTCAGGAGTCTGCCGCCGTTAAGTAAGGGCCTTAACCAAACTACGTTGAATTGGGACTAGAATAGGGTTTTGGAGGTAGTGAAGGTAAGGAGGGCTTTGCTAACGTCATTCAGAGCTCGGTGCAGGCGAAGAATGCGGGAGTTTGTCGGTCCAACGCTCGGTCTCAGGAAGCTCTTGGCATTGCATAGATGGGACTCGCGGTGCCCGGTGCCCTAGGGACCAGATGGTAGGACGGCGTCGCTGGTCTGGCGGCTGCGAGTGCCGACGACGCAGCGATCACACTGACCTTCCAAGAGGTTGGAGGAGTGCAATAGATCAGTTTCAGAAAAATGTCTTTACCGCATCGCTGTCAATCCTGGAAAGGCTGGTCATGCACGGGGGACAGGCCCAGCTTGCATGAAACCTGTCATGCAAATGTGCTTTCATCTGCTGCGAATACTTGCCAGCATCGTCGCTAACACAGTCATTGAGCGCGTCGGACAAGATGCCTGGCGAGGTCTTAGGTCCCACTCTTCCTCTTTTGAGAATCAGGGCTTCGACAGATAGCAACCCCTTGTGTCAGTTGACGCATGCGAGGACCTGAAGGATGGCTCGGAGTGCACCTTGCTCGCAACTCTGGCATTTGTATCGTTGGAGACGACTGGCCCCGGCAAGACTGCCCACTGGCAGGGTGACAAACGAACCTCGAGAAGCTAACTGCGTCAGACATCCTCACAGCTGCAGGTGAGTTTGCAAGCAGTTTGCCACTGCCGCTGCCGCTGCCACTGCTACTGCTACTGTGCTGCCGCTGCTGCTACCGCACTACTTCTTGGTTTGTTGTGAGAGCTGCTGCAACTCTTCGGCAGACCATCCAAGGCGATGAAATGAAAGAACGCACAGCGCTGCGTCTATTCCTTCGAGACCCCCGATTGACGGTCCCATTGCAACAGCAACACCACTGCGATTGGCCGGGAGTCAAGTGCGAACAACTTGATGGGGGCAGCTGCCGATATGTTGTCGCGTTGTTTTCCACCAACCCTGGTTCTGAGCTGAATGTCTTGAGTCAGCTGCGGCGGTTGAGGCAGTTGAGCATCGTAGGCAACGTTACAGGGACCCTCAAATCGCTCAGTAACATGACGGCTCTGCAAGACTTAACCCTCGAGAGCTCCGAAGTCACCGGCGATTTGGTTGCTCTCCGGGCAGCCACAGACCTGAGACAGCTAATCCTTTACAGCCCCAAAATCACGGGCAACTTGGCCAACCTCAAAAAGATGGAGAAAATGGAGAATCTACAACTCCAAGGCAACGTTTATGGCGATCTTCACCACTTGAGGGATATGTTCAAAATGAATGTTCTGACCCTGCATGGCACTGCGGTTCAAGGCAGCCTTCAACAACTAAGAAAGTTGAGGAGGCTTACTGAGCTGCTCGTACACAGTACGAGAGTCGTTGGCAGTCTGGAACAGCTGGAAGACATGACGAACATGGAAACCCTGATGCTCTATGGCACTGAAGTCACGGGCAACTTGGAACACCTCAAGGACGCGAAACGCATGAGACATCTGGTCCTTGACGGCACCAGGGTCACCGGCAACTTGGAAGATCTGAGTGGCATGTCGAAGATGAAGAATCTGCAACTACGGGGCAGCGCGGTGGAGGGCAGCCTTAAACACCTGAAGGATATGACGAAGATGCATATTCTGACCCTCCACGGCACTGCAGTCACGGGCAGCCTGGAACAGCTGGAAGACATGACGAACATGGAACAGCTGATGCTCTATGGCACTGCAGTCACAGGCAGCTTGGAACACCTCAAGAAGGCCAAAAGCATGAGACAGCTAATCCTCTACAGCAGTGCTGTCACGGGCAGTTTGGAAAGCCTGCGTGGCATGCAGTCTATGCAGCAGCTTGTTGTTTCTGGCGCAGATGTCAAAGGCAGTCTAGCTGACCTCATTTCCATGCGCGGGCTGCATGTGCTGTGCTTGCACGGCAACGGCATCACGGGAAGCCCCGCTGGTGTGATCCCCAGTATGCCGGTGCTCCGTTACCTCGATCTTCAGAACACACAGGTTCACCAACGCATCCCGCAGGGATTCGAGCAACATGGGCAACTGTATTTCTACAGCATCCAGGCCGCTCGCTTGAGAAGGGCTGATGTATCGTGTTATCTTTATGCTCGAAGCCCAGGAACGAACCTCAGGAGATTGGCCACTGTGCAACTCGAACCTACTAGTTACCAGGACACTTTGCGAGACTTGACACCCGTAGTGGCATGCAGCTGCCACAGTGGCCTCCTGGAGACAACAAGAAAGGATGCTACATACAATCAGTGCATGAGCACGTAAATTCGCTGTGTTTTCTGTACACTGTACATCCTAGCCGGTCAGCAGAGAAGATCCGTATCCGCCCTTGTCCTGTTAGCTGAGGCCTTGGCAGAGGTGCGGTCCAAAGTCTACGTCATCAATGGGGATGACGGGCTGGTGTACCGGAACGCAGATGATTTGCTTGGCCGCTTGTCTGCTTCAGCCTCTACAGATGGTTTCCTGTCTCGGTACCACGATGCTCGACCTAAGGACTTAACATGGGACCTTGGGAGGTGGCGGGTCCGTGCTGTATGGTCGAGCTTGCAATTGCAGGTGTGGAGCGCCGAATCGATCAGATATCCAGTGAAACGCAGTGATGCCGACAGACTGAGGTCCCACGATCTATGGATTCGGCATGGACAACAGGGTCTGGAAGCAAAGCTTGATCATCATGTCGCTAGATACTTCCTGGGAGCTGGCATCGGGTGGGAACGTCACCTCTGGCGCCATCCACTCTGATGTGTTCTACGCAGTGGACACAGAGGGCAAGCTCTGCAAGCAAGAGGTGATGAAGATGACCCCCACGAGCTCTTGGGAGGCGACAGGGGCCGCCACGTCCTGGGCGAACATCCAGCTGAAAGCAATTACGTTCCTGAGTGAATTCATGTTCGGACTGGGGAGAGATGGTGCCGTCTACAAGCAGCTGTTGCTCAGAAATGAAGAGTCTCCAACTTCGCCGATGCTGCTGAGCCAAATTTCGTGGAGTGTGGAGAGTATGGCGGCCGCCGGGGGCAATCTCTATGTAGCTGGGTCCTTCAGATGCAAGCATTAAGCACCGGACAGGCCACAGATTTGCAGTGTTTAGGGATCACATTTCGCTGCAGTTTTCCGCACACTGCCGAGCAGAACGGATCAATGCAACACCGAGGGGGGATGGCATCTGGACATTGCGGCTCGCCTCAAGCAATGGTTGGATCGAGGGAAACAAATGGAAACAAGTCGACCCCTGGCAGAATTTGTGCAGTTTCCCCGCGTGTGGCTGCTGTCCTGCTCCACATCGATCGCCACAGATCTCAGCCTCGGAAAGGTCGAGCAGCGCTCGAAACAGCAAGCACATGCTCTGAAATTGTCAGAAGACTGAAGCAATAAAGCCTCCCTGACAAGGACACTGTCACGTTGGCGGCGATTGCAATCCCTGACCTTCAGGCAAAGCTGTTTGATAACAAGTAAGCAAATGCATGATGTGCGGAGCTAGGCCCAGACAATGAACCGGCAGCGGTGCTTCCAGGCTCTTCATGCAGTACATAAGAATCCTACACACCCAACTGGTTCCAGGTCCAGGTCAAAATCATGCACCGATGTGTTGGCCGTGCATAGACAACACGCGCCATTGATGCGACCCAGGCGTGCCACCGCCCGAGCGGATGGTGCGTCCCAGGACAGCAGCGGCTCGGTGCCAAACCTCATCACTGCAGGCTTTAGTCTCAACAGGTCGGGGGTTCGCAACTGCACACATGCTCTGTAAATACCACACCACACCCGGATTCTCCCCCCTTCCCTCCCAGTATGTAAACATGCACGTTGACCCTGAACCTCCAGGCTCCGAGAGAGAAGCCTGAAAGGTCTGTTCGTCGTTGTGAAATGTTGTGAACCCCCATCCCCTGATTGCTTCACTGGATTCACCTCTTTCATATTGGCTGCAGCGTGGTTCTCAAGCGGGGGCGAGGTTTTCCAACTATGTGCAGCAGCCAGCAGGAAATCTCCGGCTGGTCTTGCCATGCGTTTGCTGAGGTTCAGGGACTCTGAGGATTGTGATGCAGATAATGCGCCGGCCTTAGATCTTCGGGCTGGAGAGTTGGCGTTCAGTAAGATTGATACTTCTTACAGCGGGACTTTATGGTGGACAGCCAAGGTTGCAGATCTTGTTTGCGATGGCGACGGTAGGCCGGCAGACGGTTCTCTTGCAACATTGGGATCTCGCTCGTTTCATACCGGTCACCTAGCATCACAGAGCCCACGCAGCTGGAAGGCGAATTCTACACAGCCGCGACTGCTCGGACCGGACGTGCTTCTTCTAAAACTGGCTGGATCGCGCGTGTCGAACCCGAACACGCAAAGGTACCACACCCTCTCCCCCGCATTCCAAAAGAAACGGTAGCAGTGGTAGCAGCAGCCGGCGCAGTAGTCGTAGTAGTAGTAGTAGTAGTAGCAGCAGCAGCAACAGTAGTAGTCGTCTTCGTGGTGGTACTGGTGGTGGTGGTGGTGGTGGTGGTGGTGGTGGTAGTCGTGGTAGTGGCAGTAGTAGTAGTAGTAGTAGTAGTAGTAGTAGTAGTAGTCGTAGTAGTAGAAGTAGAAGTAGTAGTAGAAGTAGTAGTAGTAGTAGTAGTAGTAGTAGTAGTAGTAGTAGTAGTAGTAGTAGTAGTGGTAGTAGTGGTAGTAGTGGTAGTAGTGGTAGTGGTAGTAGTAGTAGTCGTAGTAGTAGTAGTAGTAGTAGTAGTAGAAGTAGTAGTAGTAGAAGTAGAAGAAGAAGTAGTAGTAGTAGTAGCAGTAGTAGCAGTAGTAATAGTAGAAGTAGTATAAGTAGTATAAGTAGTATAGGTAGTATAAGTAGTATAAGTAGTATAAGTAGTATAAGTAGTTTAAGTAGTTTGAGTAGTTTAAGTAGTTTAAGTAGTAGTAGTAGTAGTAGTAGTAGTAGTAGTAGTAGTAGTAGTAGTAGTAGTAGTAGTAGTAGAAGTAGTAGTAGCAGTAGGAGTAGAAGTGGAAGTAGTAGTAGGAGTAGTAGTAGTTGTTGTAGTGGTAGTGATAGTGGTAGTGGTAGTGGTAGTGGTAGTGGTAGTGGTAGTGGTAGTGGTAGTGGTAGTGGTAGTGGCAGTGGCAGTGGTAGTGGTAGTGGTAGTGGTAGTGGTAGTGGTCGTGGTCGTGGTCGTGGTCGTGGTGGTGGTGGTGGTGGTGGTAGTAATAGCCGTGCCAGGGCTCCAGGTACACCAAAGCAAAAAAATTGTGCGGCCATGCCGTCAGCGATCCCTGCCTACATACACAGTTTGAAATCTCCGCCCGAGACCCGCGTCGTCGTCGGCATTGTCGTCGTGGTGGTTTTGGCGTGGTTGTGGTGACCTGGTTGCGGTGGTGGTGCTCCCGAACCCCAGCGACAAAGTACCAGGTATGACGATGGCCGAGCTCCACCCTGCAAAGAGCTGAAAGGCCGGATGCCTGTGGCCTGTGGTGTCGAAGACTCCTGATTTTTATGGCAAATGTGGATGAGCCATCCGGAGATTTGCAGTCTGTGCGGCAAAGTCCAAGAAGTTCTTTTGTTCACAGAAGGCCGATTCCTGAAGTTCATGGACTTGGTATCTTGACTGAACAGCAGGACACTCAAACTAGCAGGCTGTGGCTTTGCGAGTCTTGTCCGTTCCGAGTGTCAGTGTGTGCTCTCAGTTGGATTTTCTCGGGTTCTAGGGATTCGGGGGACCGTGCCGACGCCAGTCATCAATCCCCAACACTTTCGCTTTCTCCTCATGGCAAAGTCAAGAGGAAGAACACCGATAGCAACGTTTCTTCGCAGTCTCGTACAAAGTCTGTTGCCATGTTCTTTTGCGTACCCCGAGCAGAGGTACTTTGCGGCCCTTTCAATCTAAACTTGTAGGTTCAGACCTCAACTTGCGACCACTCGAAGCCTCAAGCCCGAGCCAAACTCTGAACGCTACCCCGACCCCCGGAGATCCAAGGAAATCCGCAAGCTCCAACCCTTCTATGCCAAGCCGTCGCTCTCAACTCCATGTTCGTTTTGGAACGCATCTGTAACAAGTGGGGGCCTACTATGTTTCTGCGAGAACGGGCTTAGTCAAGCTTGCTTTGCATTGCCAAGACGCTTAGAGCGCCAACTCTTTGATCCCCAAGAGCCTCCAACTGGTGCGCAGCTTTGGTCACAAGACTGCAAGTGTCGCACCTCATCGACCGATGTCTCCTCAGGGAACGAGGTGTCTCATGGCATACCGGCAGTCGAATTTTGCTCCAAGCTCTTTGATGATGCGCAGCACCAGATCCGACGTGCACGAAACGCACACAGCAAGTTTGGCAATGGACAGTTATCGCACGAAGTGAAGCAGGCTCTTGGGATAACAAGCAAGTCGGACAGTTCTGACATTTGGTGGTAGCATTGAAACATTGACTGTCTTCCTGACCGCTTGCACGTCATCTGAGGATTTAAATGTGGGACTCTGTGATCAAGCCTTGCAGGACAAGGCCAAGATGAATATCATCCTTGGGGCCAGCAGCTCTGTGCGCTACGCCCTTTGGCTGTCCATGTCTAAGTTCTAGCGGCCAGAGAAGCATACGTTGAAAAGAGAACCTACACCAGCAGCTTTTCATATTGCCGATGGTTGGCGACGAGCTTGTGTTGCAAAAGAGGCTGTCGAGCATGGATGTCCGCCTTGTCGCGTTTAGTCTATAGCAACTGCTTGTTGAACGTAGCCTCTGGCTGCGAGCCGCACGCACGCATGTATGCACGCATGCGCGCGGGCGGGTGCACACTCGCATGCACCAGCTGCCGCCAAGGTTTGCCAGGATGAGTGTGACAAACTCGTGCTGGCCGTTGCTCGCTTTGCAGATCTCATTGTACAAGCAGGGCGATGGAAATGGCGAGCAAGCAATGCTTCCTACTCAACGCTATGCTCCATGCTCGTAGTAGAGAGGGTGGAGTCTCACCTGTTGGCTTGTTGCGCCGACACCTGTGGTTGGAACGGGCAGTTTTGCCGGAAACCCAGCCGAGGGTGTAGCTTTCTGGCTGTACTTTCACGTGCATGGCTGTGCGGAGCCACGCCGGCTAGCTGAGGCAGGCTGTGGGAATTCCTCACTGTCGAGGAGCAGATGCACTGGAAGGCAGAGTGCTGTGCAGAGAAAACGATTGTTTCCGGATCAGAGCGGGAACGGATGTGCACAAGCATGCTTCCTCCACAAGGCAGGACAGACTTTATCGCAACAGATCTACAACCGGCTGATGCCGGGCAGTCCACTTCGGTGGGACAGGATAGATTGGTTTGGCTTGAACGCGGAGCAGAATCAAGACTTGGGCATATTGCTTGGGCAAGAAACGGTGCTGTGGTCTCTGCAGACTTCCTGCGCCAGCAGCCGCTCACAGTGGAAGAAGGAATCCTGATGCAGTACTGGCAATATCAGGCCTGACCGTCAATGCCGGATGGGAGACTGCTCTGAGTCGCAAGCTGAGCCTCCAATCCCCGTGGCTTTGTAGCTTCAGGCCGTGACAAACCAGACGGCGGCGGAAGAGATCCAACCTTCAAAGCCCAGGACGGACAACATTTCAGGGCTTTTGGCTTGGTAGGCTGGACACTCCGGTTTGTGTAAATGGTGGGGCGGATACTGCTCCGATCGCACAGGTTCCTCAATGAGATCAGTTTTCAGATGAAGTGAAGTGCACAGGGACAACATCCACCAAAACTACTGTGAGGGCTCAGATCAGGCGAAGTCATGTTATGTCGGCTGTATCCTTTGTGCATCCTCTTGCTAATCTCGCAAGGCCGTCACTGTCAGGTATAGCAGAACGTACGCTGAAGCAGTCACTCCGACGAAGGCCCGGCAAGAGTTTCCTTCAAAAGCTGGCGGCGACATTGGTGGAGAACAGGTGAGCAGCTCTGGACGCTTGAATCGGTCTTTGTGTCCATAGACCACCTGTCCGCTTTAGGTCTTCTCAGCCCGAGCAGCTCGCCTTCTTGGCCGGCTGCCCACAACAATTCCGGAGCGCCCGCTTACAAGCCTCTGAGAGGGCTCGAGGCCGACGGTGAAAGCACCAAATTCGGTGTTTTTGTTAGTCTAAAAACCGGTCCGCAATCAGCAGTTTGGCTGCAGATGTGAGATCCAACAAATAAGCCCTGAACTATTCTCTTAACGGGAAGACCTTCCTGTCCCGCTGGTAAGGGGCATCACTGTGTCTCGTTGGTTTAGTGTCGCTTGTGTCTGTGTTTGTGTTGTTACTTGATGTTACTTGTGTCTCTTCACTTGGGAGCAAGACACAAATGAACTGGTTCCGGACCCCTAAACCCTAAACCCTAAACCGTGGGTTCTCGCAGCCGCCGAAGATCCTACCCACCCCTTCACCCCAAACCGGAAGCCCATCGCAGAAAGAAAGCAAAAATGTCGAATACGCTGACGAGTGACACCGCCCTCAAGCAGAACCCAAAAGGCCGAAAACCCTAAGGCTAAGGAGTAAACTCAACCCGAGCATGGTCGAAACAGCAAATGCAACGCCAAAGCCGCATTCTCGAAGGCGTCAGCACGACACCCTGAGCCCAAACCCGAACGCAGAGCACAAAAAGACCGCGCACGAACCCAAACAAAAAGACACATGCGACACCGGAAACAAAGACGCAAAGTACTCCAAAATTTAAGGAAAAGGCATCCACGAGCCCCCGACATGTGCAAACGTTGGGCTTCTGGTCTATACCAGATCGGTTGAACTGCATGCCAAGTGGGGACAGAATCTGTACTTCCACATTTAAACGTCTTGGAGATACATTTAACCGTTCTGCTGTGCCCATGCACGATTCAACATCTGTCGTGGAAAGAAGATGCAGGCTGGTTGGCCTTCAGCCGGGCGATCCCATCGAGTTGCAGGACGGAGGCTCTCCAAGCCTCGAGCCCATCAAGCTGCGCAGCACAGATGCAGAAGAACCTAACCGGAGTGTTTTTCGAATCTGGAACCGGGCGCTTCAAGTGCCACAGCTTGTGGGACTGCGACGGGCATGCGCTGAACATGATAAAAGAAAGCAGCGAGAGACTCGACAAGGCTACTAAGGACATGAATCCAGGTGGGGAAAGCCTAAAGTACCTGAAGCTGACATTGAGCGGCTGAAGTTCGCAGTACACCGCAACAGCTCTTGTGCTGCAAAACAAGGCGATGTGTCCGTAGCGGCACACTGCATGTGATGCAGGCGAGTGACGCAATCACCTGAACGGCAGCAGACCCTCTGGAGCAACTTGCCGCTGAAGCCAGCATGGCTCGAATCAATTTGTTTGTGAATCCACAACATGACTTGCCATGGATCTCTCACAGCGCTGGGAAGAGGAAGCACAGAAGTTGAAGGCTGAGCTCCCAAGAGGCACGGTGCATTGATTCAGAGTTGATTCACCCTCCGATCGATTTTGCACTCTGTGGGTTGCAAAGCGCCAGAGTTCTGCGGTCCTATCCTCGTCAGGTGAGGACTCTGAAGCTGACCAGGCGAGAGGGAGACATGGAGATGAAGCGGCACAGACTGTGAAGAACAAGGTCTTGAGATGTAGGAAAATCAAGTCCTTACTGCCGTTAATGACCGGCTGCCAAGCACAGCCGTGGCACTCACAAGATCGAACAACACTAACACCAAGGACGAGCTGACAAAACAATTCTAGCAGGTCCTCGAACTCCTGCTCATTCTTGTGCTCACCTCTCTGGCGCTTCGCACGGCCGCCGCGACATTTACAAGCTTGTGCTGCCCTCCAGGACAAAAGCTTTCATTTGAGGCTTTGTGGGGTTAAGAGGCAGCGTGAAGATTACGAGAAGGCGTGTTGCTATTACGTACACAGCACCAATGTGAGCCCAACCGCAGAGCATGTCAGCAACACGGAACCTGGGAGTCGAAGCACACAAAGCAAAACGAATGTGCTGGGTGAAAGAAAAATGCAAGTGAATGAGCGTATTAATGTTGCTTCCAAATAACTTGACATGAACAGACTTTTTGCGTTATGAGAAGGTGAAAAATGGCTTAAGGCACTTTAGCCGGAGGATGATTCTTAGCAGAAGGTCAAGGTGGTAGCAATATGACAGGATAACAGTTAGAGCATGACAGTTGTTCATAACTCACAACTATGATTGGTTACTGCTAGTAGTAGTTGATTGTAGTAGTATTATGCCTCTGGCGGTGGTTTGATAAGATCGTCTTGATAAGAACAACAATAAATGGTAGGAGCTTACTGTACATGCTGTTGCAACTGCATTCTGCATTTTCAACGGGATCCGAAAAGTCTGCAGCTGCACGGGCACACATGGAGACAAGATCCCATGCCCGAAGGCATGATCAGGAGTGTCAGTGCACGCTGAAACAATCAAACATGATATTTATCACCCTAAACATTAAATAGTCAGTGAGACGCATATCGCTACCGTCTCTGAGAAATAGTTTCAAGCAGTGGCAGTGGTTGTAAGTGTTGTACAGGTTAACATGACAATTAGATCACATTTCATCCTAGGAAATTCTAAATGTCGAGGACATCTAAATGCTCACAAAAGAAAATTGTAGAGCAAACTGCTTCCTCCCAATGTACTGCTGCGATTGAAGGTTTCGGAGGCCAAATGGGTGGGTCTACAGGTTGGAATCTACAGTGAATCTAGGTCTTAGGGAGGCTACAGAACGCAACTCCTCTGTAAACTATAAAGCTAATAGGACGCGAGAAGAACGTCTGCACCGCGCGGGTCACTCAGCCAATTCTCCTTGGAAGCCTCCCAAAGATAGGTCTTTGGGGACAGGACAGCTCTTTCGCATTTCTTCTCGCAGCAGTATTGTACTGTCCCAGACAAACCAATACTTTTCTTGCCAAAGCGGTGTACTGTCCCAAGAAACAAAAACACTCATTTCCAGTCGTGGAGGCTAGCTCCACATGCCTCCAAAAAGATTGGTTGTTTTTGACAGTACAGCATTTGTGCAAAAGAAGCCAACAACAATGCTGTACCGTCTCCGAAGAGCGAATCTTGTTTTGCGAAAGTGCTGTATTGTCCAAGCAGACAGAACCAAAACAACAATGGACACCTTGCCCCACGAGGTACCAGGCCCTGAAAAGAGTGTTTTTTTGGTGTTTTTTGGGACAGTCCATCACTTTTGCAAGAAAACCACAAGAATGCTGTATTGTCCAAAAAACAGGTTTTTCTTCGAAAGTGCTGTATTGTACCGAAAAACCACAGGAATCAATGGACACCTTGCCCCACGACCCCAGGAGGTCCCAAGACCTGAAACTGTTTTATTGGTTTTTGATAACAGCACAGCAGTTTAGAAATGAAACTGTTTCTTTTTGGGACAGCACAGCGTTTTTGACAGTGCTCTTGCAAAAGTGCGACGCGCTGCGGATAATCATGATGCTCAAGTATGTGTGCTTATGATGCTGGTCAACGTGGTGCACGAATGCTCTGGCTTATGCTCATGATGCTGGTCAGGCTACGGCCCTAAACCATCAGCAGCAACCCTGAAGTTCAAGAGACAGTACCTGCAGCAGGAAGCTACAGGAATCTCTTCGTAATTGGGGGGGGGGTACCGTCTCCTAATTATCGGTCTGGTGGGTAGGAATTAGGAGATCAGTTTCGCGATCGTTGGAACAGACTTGATCTATTTTCTCCGTGGCCATTTTGGCGATAGCCGATCGGGCCATACCGAAAAATCGGCGTGGGAGGTAGAAGTGAATAGGCTCGCTCGATCGCAGCCATGTCGTTCCCTCCCGCTGGCTTCCATCAAGGTCGGCAGATGGCGGCTCCGATGGCCCCACAGTTCGGGTTGCCTCGCCGGCTTGGTCAGCCTGAGAATCCGGGCAACTGGGGACACTACGTTCCAGGCGAGGCAGAGGCTCCCGAGAATCCCGCGGCTCCAGCTGCCGCATCCGGCGATTGGGGCTCTGGAGGCTGGGGTCGCGACGATCGTCGTGGACGTCGTGACCGCGGGGCTCCTGCTGCCCACAACCCCTTCGCTGTCCAGCGGCCTGAGTTCGTTCGCCAGGTCGTGGTCGAGGAAGAGGACGAGACCCAGAACTCGCTCCTCGTCATCGACAACCGCGACGACCGGGTGATCTCCCCGTTCCAGAATTGGCTGGCCGAGGAGATCATCTCGAATGCCGCCAGCTCGATCAATGTGCTGACGGAGCGGGACTCGGTCATGCCCCCGAACTCGGGCTACCACTGTTCGCTGTTCGCGAACTATACGCTCGATGGCATCAAGGCCGTTCTGCTCTTTTCGATGTCTTCGAAAACAGGGGGACCATGTGCTCAGTGGGACTCCTACGCGAGTCGGGCGCTATCGCACCCGGCTTTCCAGCCCTTCACTTGGCCGGTGATGTTCGACACCTCGGCCACCTATGTGGATGTGAAGGTCTTCAATGGAAACGAGGTCCTATTCCATTGGGTCTTCAGGGGCTACCGCTCGGACTCGGATCTTTCTGTCCAGCAGCAGTTCTGCGACGAGGTGTTGATCCGGTCAGCCAACGAAGGATGGTTCCGACCCTCGATCGTCATCTCGGTCTTCGTTGGATGGAAGGTCTCCGTGACCTCGTTCGAGGTTGGAGCCCGAGTCTACACGATCGGCCCGAGAGGAGCAGTGATGGCGAGCGACCATGCTATGAGCACCTGTGAGCTCAGGGTGACGGAACGCTCGTCCCGAGAAGGCTATGGGAACGACGCCGATCGTGTTGAGTTTCGGTTCCGGGACGCCAACAACCGGATCGATCTCAAGTGCGGGAGGACTTCGGTGCCTGGCACGTGGCTCACAGTCAGCCACATCTCGGGCCCCGCTCTGATCAGCACGATCCAGGCCTGTCGGACCCAGCGTGCTCGCGTGGAAGGTCCAGACCACATCCAGCAGTTCGCGCAGCTGTCTGCGGTGATCGCCCCCTGGTACCACAGTGCGTTCGCCCACGAACAGGTGCAAGTGGGAACTGCGACAGACGAGTTCCCGATGGATCATGGGAACTTCCACGTACGGGCTAGATCTAAGCTCAGGGTCTGCCCACTGGAGTTCGTCCGGCAGGAGGCGCTCGCCCACCGGTCGCACGATGAGAACAACGCCGTTCGAGCTCGGAACGGCCCCCCGGCTCTCATGGAAGAGGCGGCTCGGCAGGCGGTTCAGCAGCTGGGCTCCTCGGTCACTTCGGCGCTCACCAACATGCCCACCTCGGCTCAGCAGGTGTTCGACCAGAGGGTGAGCACTGTTCCGGTGCCGGAGGAGGGCCAGCTCGGCCAGGAGCAGATCGCCGAGGAGGTCGTCACCGATGCCCGCGATCGCATGAGGGCCGACATGCGATTCTCGCGCACGTCGGCTGCGATCACGCCCCAGGTTTTCACCGACGTGCTCCAGCACCGTGAGCAGGCGGAGTACGAGCGGATCAGCACGGTCAGGGTGGAGGAGACGGGCCAAGAGATCACGGCTTCCCCCTCCACTACGACCACGGTGCCGAAGGCGTTCGCCCCGGCCTACCCGCCGGCCAGATCGTCAACGGGGCCCTACACGATGGACAATACAGACTAGTTGTCGATCGAAGCCTAGGTGATGGTCGGTTTTTGTGCACGCTCCTAAGAGAGTGGTGCGCCGCGCGACCGAAGCCTCCTGGCGGATCAGCCGGGCTCTTCCGCGGAACAAACATGCCGAGCGATCCTCTCGGCGCGCTAGATCCCAGCGCATGTTCTGCCGGAAGTGAGATTGATCAATACCTGTCTCAGGCACGGCGCTCGGTTACCATTAGCAGGCACGTGCGATCGTTCGTGCAGCTGTTCAGGCCCAGCATGGATAGGTCCGTTCGGAAGATCCTATCCCTCCCCCTGTTCGGGGATGAATTTTGCCAATGGTTGGTGGATCTTCGGATGGCTCAGTTCGAGAAGCTCACGGCTGTTTCGGACGGGACGATCGCTGAGTGTGTGCAAGCATTCATTGATCTTGTCCCTGCCCTCGAGGAACTCCACACGCCAGATCGGCGGAAGAACGAGGAGGAGCTCGGCAGGTGGGTTCCGTCGATCGAGCTGTTGTTTGTGCTGGTTCGTAGCACGGCAGCAGCGGGCTGGGCTGATCTGGCCACTGATCTGGGATTCGGCTTGGCTGAAGCTCCGGTCGTCTTCGGGCGATCGCC